CATGATACCCACAGAAGATCTGCTACTCAGTAGTGCTGTTCACCAAATATTTTTGACTCTTTGACTACCAGGCATATGCTAAGACTACAATTGCCTACCCCACTTTTAGGCATGGTCTTGTGGGTTAGTCAGCTTTTCATCAATGTGATGAGATACTTGAAAAAAACAACTTAAAGGAGGAATGATTTATTTGGCTCAGTTTCAATCCAGAGTTGCCTGCTCCATTGCTCTGGGCTTGAGGTGAGGAAGAACATCAAGGCAGAGGAAAGCTGCTTGGCTCATGGCAGCTGGGAAGCAGGGAGTGAGCAAGGAAGGGGTCAGGGACAAGATATAGCCTTCTAAGGCATGCACCCAGTGACCCATTCCCTCCAACTAGGCCCTACCGTCTACAGTTTCTACCATCTCCCAATTATGCCATCAAATTTATGAATCTATCAGTGAATGAATCCACTAATAAGTTTGCAGCCCTCAGGATTCAATCACTCTCCCAAAGTCTACCTTGGAACACAGCTGCACTGGGGACCACGCCTTCAACACCTGAACCTTTAGGGGACATTCCAGATTTAAACCATAATACCATGTGGCATGCTTTGACCAATGGAATATGAATGAAAGTGACATGTCCCACACTGGGACAAAAACTTAAAAAAGCCAGCGCCCAACTTAGTTTCCATCTGCCCTGATCCCTGAGTGACTATGAGGAGCAGAGTTCCAATGTGTACTCATGAAAGACATGTAGTATGAATGACAAGTCAACTGCAGTTCTGTTAAGCACTGAAATCTTGAAGTTATTCTGAGTGAAGCCTACTCCAAGCTCTCCAGACCAGATCCCTCAGTAAGGATTCTCTCATAAGTAATTTCATTTCCATACTTGATGATAAACATTTTGTTTACACAAAAGATTTTCTTTGCATCCATCCTGTTTCAAAGCTATTTTCAACATAAAAGTATACTTGCAAAGTACCTACTATGTAAAAATACTGTGTTAGAGGACAAAGAAGAAAGTCCATGTCTTGAAAAAGCTTCAGTCTTATGTTGTGGGTGGAAAACACTTAGTGGCAATTATGGCAAAAAGGCAAACTCTAAAGTTAAAGTGGTTTAAAGGAGAAAAACATCTCATTAGATGGGGCGACAAGTACAGAAAACACTTCAAAAGGAAGTTCCAGCCAGGCGTGGTGGAACACGCCTGTAATTCCAGTGGCTCAGGAGGCTGAGGCAAGAGGATCACAAGTTCAAAGCTAGCCTCAGCAACTTAGCAAGGCCCTAAGTAACTCAGTGAGACCCTGTCTCTAAATAAAATACATAAAAGGGCTGGGAATGTGGCTCGGTGGTTAAGCACCCCTGGATTCACTCCCCAGTAACAAAAAAAAAAGGAAGTTCCATATTTAATGGGTCTAAAACATGAGTAGAAACAGTAATGAGAGATTTAAGGGGGTCATTTAAGATAGAAAAAGTCAATATAAGCAAAGCATGGAGTATAAACAGCAAAGCACAAAGAATAAGAGTCTCCACTGACTTGAAAAATAGAATAAAAGTAAGGGCATGACAACAAATGCATCTGCCCACACTGCCCATGCCAGGCTGGTCTGTGCCTAACGCAACAGACAGTGCAGAGGCAATGAAAATCCTGGCCAGGGAAGGACACACTTGGAAGTGATGTAAGAAAGTAAAGTGATGGAAGGAAAGGAAATAGTTTTTCAAGAGAGGGAGGTTCTGGGGAAATTCACAGGAATGATGTAGATGGCCTCAAATCAGTGTGATGACAGTAAGAGTGGAAATGTAGCAAATGCCAGAATGCTATGGAGGCAGAATCGACAAGAACTGGCAACTCAATGTACACAGGGGTAGAAAAGAACGCAAAAAGAGACCTGAGGTACAGATCTGTGGTGGCTGAGAATTATTATTCCAAATAGCTACGGTTAATCAGAAAAGTAACAATGAAAAGTAAAATAGGTACAGTGGCACATGGCTATAATCCCAGCTACTCAGGAGGCTAAGGCAAAAGGATGACAAGTTTGAGGCCAGCCTGAGCAACTTAGTGAGAACCAGTCTCAAAATAAAAAATTACAAGGGCTTGGCATGTTGCTCAGTGATCAAGTGCCTCTGGGTTCAGTCCCCAATACCAGCAAAGAGGAGTGTGTGTAAAACAATGGCAGGTAAAGTGTTACTGTGTATCTTTCCTAAAGATTGTCTCCCCACTTCATTTGAAGAAGTACTTACTACTGCTATTTGTTTATCCTTTACTCCACCCAGGGCAAAGGTACTTCCTCAGTTTGAGGCCATCAACTTGTCTTTCGTACAACCTCATCTCCCACTTTTTCCAGTAATGAACCTCTGGGACCACCTTTGTGTATTTCAAGTTCATTCTGTCACCCTTACCTTCCTTGCTTTCCATCAGTTCACTTTTCTTCCTTCATCCAGGCTACCGGCTATTTATGGCCCAACTAAAGCCTCAACTCCCCTGTGAAACCCTGAGAAACACATGTGCTTTTCGTTTTCTTGACTTCTCATAGTGCATACTTTCTTGGAACTCCAGTGACCACATCATTAGTTACTTTCCTTTACATTCTTTATTCCCACAACTACATTACTGGCCCATTCACAACTTTCATATCTTCAGTGTCTTTGAGTTTCCTTCAATCAATGCATTGGACAAAACATGTACTTAATAAACACTTGATTGATTGAACAAGTCAGTTATTCTCTAAGAACATGCATGTCATTTCATCATTAATAATTTACTTTTATTAAACCATAGTTAGACATTCAGACTTGTGAAACTGAGAAATTTTCCACTTGATATTTCAAAATGTCTTTGAGTTACTGTTGCCTTAAGAAGTTACTTGAAACTACTATTTGGTCATAAATTTTTGTGCCAGCTTCCTTTTTACTCTGTTGACTTCTAGGTGCAGTAAACAGTTGGGTAATCATCACTCCAAGATGACTGACTTAGACACAGCCTAAGTTGTCATGACTATTTTACTTTCAGTAACATAAGTCGAGTTCAACTATCCGTAGTACAAATACTTTAAAGTACATCACAGAAAAGTTTTTAAGTATTCTTTGCTTTCTGGAAATAACAGCTGCCTTAACTGGTCTTGCCCTCGGTTAATTACAATGATTCAGTTTTAACATTTCACTCCTTCACATGTCAAACAAAAATGAGGTTTATAAGGAATCATAAAAACATGTACCATGATGAAAAGGAGTCCAACATATTTATGGAACATTTTCCTAATCAAACCTACTCTCCTCTCTAAGACATTTTCTCTTGCAAACGTGCTCACAGAGAAGACAATGGGGAAAAGTGCCAGAAGGAAAGGAATCAAGACACATACTTTGCCAATCATATTGACCCCGGTGCCTCTGAAGATCTAGCTTCTGGTAGAACAGTAAGCAATAACAACCAGTACCCATAAGATGCTGAGTCCCTTTCCCTGGACTTCTCCTTTCTCTTCCCACAGCTGGGCCCGAAAGACCGTGTCCTTCCTCTGCGCTAAGCGTCGCAGCGCTGCGGGGTCTCACGCAGGTGACCTCAAACCCCTTGGCCCGTTTCAGGCGGGCTTTCCCCTCAGCCCTAGCAGCCCCACCCAAGCGAGATTCCAGGTTTCAGCCCGAGCGTCCACCGGGTTGTGCCAGATCCCTCCTTCCCCAGCACGAGCTCTGGGACTCGGCGCCGGGCCCGGGACGCGGGCGTGGGGGAGGGGCGGGGAGGCGACCGTTAGCTGCAGTAGCTGTCGCGCCCCGAAGAGCGCAGGGCAGGCCCTTACCGCAGCGGAGAGGGAGACAGTGGGGAGGCGGCGCCCGACCCCACGCGGGGCGGGAAGGCGGAGGCGACGGCGCAGGCGGCGGCGGCAGCCGCGGGGGACCCCGGCGGGCGCCCACGACGCGGTGGGCTGCATGGGCGCCGCCATAGTGAGGACGCAGCGGCGGGCGGAGCGCGTGGCCGCAACCCGGGACGGCTGGACCACCAATCCCGCTCTTCGCCTTAGCGCCCTCGCCGGGGGTCGGGCATCCATGGCCAATGGGCGCGCGAGAGCCGGGCGGGGCGCCGGGCTGACCAATGCGGGGCTGCGCCGCAGGGCGGGCGGGCGGAGGACAGGGCGGCCCAATAGGCACCGGAGCCCGGAGCTCGCGGCGGGCGCCCCGCCCATCCCGCCAGCCAGGGGTACCCGGACTGCGGAAGATGCAGTGCTTGCGGTTGCCGCAGGTGGAGCAGACGGGGCCTGCAGGTGCAGCGCGGACGACCTCGCCTCGTCCTCTCCTAGGCCCAGAGGACACACTTTCCTCGCGGACGTCTCCTAGACCCAGCCCACTGAGAGCCTGCTTCCTTGCCAGGGAGTGTGTGTCGCAAAGTACAGGGTGGTCGCGGTCACTTCACGCCAAAGGATTCCTCATCTCATCTTCCAGGCTGAGAGCAGCAGTACCCTCCTGAGGCCCAAGGCTTTGGACCTACGCAAGCCCTGCTTAATTCTGTGGGGTAAGAGGGCACGGAGGTACAGAGTGCCCTCGGACATTACTAACTTCAGAGACTAGTAGAAGATGTTTAGTCGGGACACACGACTACCCCACCCACCATACTGCAGCTCCAGGGAGTCCCGCTCTCCCATTCTGCGTCCTCTTTCCCTCAGCCGAGCCCTGGCCTTAAGGGACTTGAACTGTCATTTTTTATATACCGACCCAAGGACCCTACATTACTAAAGGAAAGCAGTTTGTCTTATAAAAAGGGCTTGAGGGGATGGAAGCCGGCAGGGGGGAACTGGTCTGGCTTTTAATTTGGGTCAGTCTTGAAACCCAGACCTAACTAGCCAGCGAAGGAAAACGGCACAAGCCAGGGTTGAGGTGTAGCTCAGGGGTAGGGCAAATACTTAGCATGCTCAAGGGCCTGGGTTGGATCACTTAAAAAAACAAAACAGGCCAGTTCATCACCTCTTTTAACTTGGGTTCCTCAAGGTTATTACAGTAACCAAAGTAAAAAAAAAAAAAAGAAAAGAAAAAGGTTGGCTTCTAATTAAGAATTTTACTGGTATTAAATCAGACACCTTGGCTGCAGGTCCTTCAGTATGACTAGGGACAGCAGGGTCAGAGAGCATTGGGGAGGCCTAGACCCTGTGGAGAAAGATAGGTTAGTGTTTTTTCCCCTGCAAACATGTGTGCTCCCAGGGTCCACTGAACATTCCATTAAGTCCAGGCTCTGCCCAGCCTCTCCTGGCACATCCTCTGAGACTCCCTGAGTAAAAGGCAAAGGGTCAACCTTGCCTTGACACCAGGAGTTGGTATAGAAAAGCATCTTTGAAACCTTTTGCTCTTCCCTTCCCCTACAATCAGTACCAAGTAGCAGCCACCTCCCAAGTCCCAGGGACATGAAGCACTGGGTAGCTGAGCTGACTCAAATCATCTCCTGTACCTGGACAGGGACACGCCACTGGAAGCACCTCTGAAGGCCAGCTAGAACTGCTATGTTGCACCAGAATCTGACACCTATTTACTGTCCCCTTCCTGCCTTGAGGCTCCCCTATCTTTGTCCCCATCAACCTTAAGGCAAAGAGGATATTCCTCCTGGGAAGCTTTTCACCAACTATAGGTAGCTTGGAGAGCAACTTCAGAACCCAACTGTGTACAAGTCACTTGCTCTCCAAGTACCTAGAATGTAAACACTCCTTTCTTTCAAATTGGTTCCACAACATGTATGAAACACAGATGCTGGCATGGACTTAGCCCAGTTTAGGATTTATCAAATGGGGTGGAAATGAGAAATCAAACTATGTTGAGAAGACTCAGTAGTCTGGTCCTTCCACCCTTACCTCCCCTTGGCCACCTCTAGGGCAGGGTAAGCAAAAAGAGGTGCTCATAGCCAGAAATGCCCATGGAGCCTAACAAGGAAGGGAGCCCTCTCCTGGAACCACTTTCCAAACTCTGCTTCATGGACTCTTTAAATACACAGCCCTGTTCCAGAGCATATGACTCTTGATAAACCCCAGCCTGACCCTTGGCCACTTGGGCTCCTTGGGGCAGACACAGCCAATCTGCTCAACACACTTTTTATTGCTAAGGACAAGGTGATGCACCAGTTTTCAAAATAATTTGGTTTATAGCGTTCATACGTAACAAAAAATGGGGAAGTTTATAAATTTGATTCTTGTATACATAGGGTTAAGTATGAAGCCCTACAATCCTGGGCCCAGGCAAACAAATTCAAGAGGAGCAAAAACCTGTTTAACCCCTTCAGTGTTGCCCTCTATTCCCACCCCCCACCCTCAAATCAGCACCCTCCCACCCCAAGACCAAGGGCATATCTATACTTGCCCCTAGCCTCCAGTGGCCCCAATTCACTCTAACCCTCCCAGCCCCTGCATGATTGCAATTTTCTGTTGACAGAATCACCTACCAGGCTCTGCCTGCTTCCATCATTAAAATCCTCCCTTTGGGGTATTCCCTACTCACACCAAGTAATACTGTGCCACAGGGGTTCTGTGCCTAGAGTATTGCGGGCAAATATCCATGTTACCCTTGTATTCTCCTCAAGGGAGGACAAAGGTGGCATCAACTCCTTAGCCTCTCAACACTGCAGCTTTGCCAGCACTCCTGAGGCCTTTCCAAGCCTGAATAGATGGCTACACCCATCTTCAGCCAACCCACAGGGGCCCTTACTCAGCTCAGCTGAGGGCGGAATTTCACATTTTGTTTGCCCTGAAGAGGCAAGAAAAAAGTAAAGGCCAGGGGCTGACAGAAGCTGGTCCAGACCAAACACCCAAACACACCCAAACACACACACACATACTCACACACACTCACTCATACACACTCACGTGCACACACACACACACATACACATATACACATAAATACAAAAGGAGATTTAGGTCAAGCACCAGCACCTCTGCCTGGTCGGTGCAGGTGCTTGGCAGGAAGCTAAGTCCTAGGCCAGGAACAGGGGAACCCGCCCAGCCAGCACAGCTGACACCTTTTCAGACTGGGGGCTAATGCAGCCACAGCATTCCAGTGCTCAGCCCCTCAGCTGGGAGATCAACGGCTGCTACCACATGTCCAAAAACAGCTTGTCATTTCTCTACAGCGGAATGCAATTCAGCTGGGGTGAGAAGGTGATGGGGTTGGTTATTTCATTCCTTTTCTTTTTTACAACTTCACTTTTAAAGACTTCAGAGTTCCGAGTGTCTGCTGTGCTGTGGAACCCGAGTGCTCTCGCCTTGATGGCTGGGAACCTCTTGGACCTTGGAAATGCCTACTCCATGATGGCCCGGTACAGTGCAGGCTCGATGTAGTCTTCTCGGTACCTCGAGTTGATTACCCGCTGCCGTTTCTTTTCCTGCTTAACCTCTTTCTCCGTGAAAATCTCGTTGAAGCGCATGTCTGAGGCTACTGACTACAGTAGGACAGGCAAGCCAAATAATCACTTTGTGGCCAACTATCCCAAGAAAAAAACAAAAGGACATACTCCTGCCATCTTCCCTCCCCTCCCAGACAGGAGCCCAGGGTACACAGAAAACACACTCACCAATCTAGACTTGACTCTCTTGGGAAGCTCTTCATCCAGCGTGTATACATCATCTCTCTTAACCACAAGCTGCGAGCCATCCTCAAACTCCACCTGCCAAGGAAACAGAGTCCTTTGGGCTAAAATACTCCTGAGACTCCCCTGGTCTACCATGCAGAGTAGCAATTTCCTGCAGCCAAAGGAAAGTGTTAACAACACTGGAGTAAGGAATGCCATGTCTGAAACCCTACTGGCAGACCTGACCCAGGACAGACCCTTAAGTCTGAAAAGGTTGTTAGTGGATCCACTAATTCTCTCAAGAGTATAGACTCATCTCTCACCCAAAAGAAAGCACTGAAGTAATCAAGTACCCACCCACTCCCAACTCCCTAGCAAGAACCCCCGGCTACCTGGTACATCTGGATGGGGTGGGAGGCCACAAATTTAGCTCCATAGACTTGGCCATCCGTCCATCTCACTTGAACCACTTCTCCTTCAGCAGGAGGACCCAACTGTAGGCAGTCCTGGCTCTAAGGAAAGAAGGAGGAAGGAGAATGAAAGGAAGGTCCACTTGAATACAATAGTAATGAATACCTACTCAGGAAAGAATGAACCAAAACAAATACTTGGCTCAGATACTTCAAGCAAGGTAGCTTGCTCTGGACTGAAAGATACAAAGACCAGCTTGCTGAGTCAAAGTATGCCCCATATCTCTGTTCCATGCTGCCAACAGATGACAAGAAATAATAGCTTTTTAATAAAGTTAGTAGATTATAATTAGCATAGGAGAATCAACAGTCCTCTTTACATCCCTTCAACTGTCCCTTAAAGGATTCTTCAGGGCTGTGTCATAAACTAGAACTATACTCAGCTATGTTTATAAGGAATGTGTTCTTAAAATACAGGCAAGGTGAGAAAAAAGGATCACCTTCCACAGAATTAGCAAAGTACATTAGAACTTTTACTTCTCATAAAAGAGTGTACACTAAGGTGAATCATTACCATATCCTAGCACGGGACCTGGTACACAGTGGATGGACAATGTACAAAAGCACAATAGTTTATGAATTTATGATTGGTAGACCTCAGAGAAGTTCCACAGGACAACGCCTAAAAAGTACACATCAGAGAGGGGAAGGGTACTGAGTCTAAAAGGATGTGCATGTTTACAGTTGCCCTGATAAACGTCATATTATATGACAAGAGTTAGACATATATGACTGTATATCCTGCCTTGCTAGTTCATTAATTGAGTAGAAATGGCTGTATATTATATTGCCAATTCATTTATGGGTTAGGTAATCAATAATCATGTTTTATATGAATCTAAGAATTAAGCAGAAACTATTGTGCCTTCACCCCAAAACAAATATCTGAGTGGAAGTTTTAAGTAGTCCAACATGTACTTCTTGATAAACCACTAAAGATCTATGCAATTCAATAACAGTAGTTCTCAAAGCTTGGTCCACAACCCAGTGCAGGGAACATGTGAGATCATGACTAATTTCATGTTAAAACACTAGTCTTGGACTGGGGTTGTGGCTCAGTGGTAGAGCACTGAGGAACTGGGTTGGAGCCTCAGCACCACATAAAAAAATTAATTATTTAAAAAAGTTTTAAAAAAATAAAAAAAAAAACCACTAGTCTTTTGCACCTTGTTGACATTTGCAGAGATGGTGTAAAATCAATGATGGGTACAACCACTTGCCATGTGCATAAATCAAAGTAAGGGCCCCAAACTCTACAAGTTGTTATTGCTATGCATACAAAATTTAAAGAAAAAAAGAAAACGTATCATTTCACATAACAATGTCCTTGATGAAACAATAACAATTTTTTTTTAATATTTATTTTTTAGTTTTCGGCGGACACAATATCTTTGTTTGTATGTGGTGCTGAGGATGGAACCCAGGACGCACGCATGCCAGCGCGCGCTTGAGCCACATCCCCAGCCACAAAACAATAACAATTTTATTACACCTTTTTTTGGTATGGAGATTAAACACAGGGACACTTAATCACTGAGCTATATTCCCAGCCCTTTTTATTTTTTTATTTTGAGACAGGGTCTTGCTGAGTTGCTTAGTGTCTTGCTAAATTGCTGAGGCTGGCCTCAAAATTGCAATCTTCCTGCCTCAGCCTCCTGGTCACTAAGATTACAGGTGTGTGCCATTTTTGTTAAATCTTAATCTTGAATGCATGAGTAAGTCTCGTAAGACACACCAGGCTGCATATGGCAGTATGATGATTATCTAGGAAAAAAAAAATCACCTATATTCAGGCTGTAGCTGTACCTCAGTGAGAGAGTGCCTGTATTCAGGTTGGCAAAACACTTGCCTAGCATGCACAAGGCTCTGGGTTAAACCCCCAGCAATGTGACAAAAAAGAAAGGAAGGAAGGAAGGGAGGGAGGGAAGGAAAACAACTGAGGAAGAGGAATTAAATAAAATTTAAGCTTTCAGGCTAGAAATGAAATTCAGTGGTAGTGCCTATTGTGCATGAGGCATTGGGTTCAATGCCCAGAATCAAAAATAAATTAATTAATTAAACAAATATATAATGGACACCTGTAATCTCAGCTACTTAGGAAGCTGAGGCAGGAAGATTTCAAAATAGAGACCAATTTGGGCAATTTAGTACACTACAATAAAATTAAAAGGCTGTAGCTGTACCTCAGTGAAAGAGTGCCTGCCTTGAATACATGAAGTCCTATGTTCAATTCCCAACACAGCAAAAATGATTAATTAAAATTCAAACTTTCAAGTAAAAATTAGAATTTCAAACAAGTGGGATCACCACTGTCAATTTGTAGCATCCCAGTATTTAGTCTTCTGACAAGATGAGGGACACTAATAAATGTGATTTTTTTTTTTCTTTTTGTGGGTCTGGTAACTGAATCCAGGGCCTCATATGTGCCAGGCAAGTACTTTATCACTGCATCACATCCCAAGTCCAATGTTTTGATATTTATAAGAAAATTTAACATTTGGAAGATTTCCATAGCTCAGTGCACTTTTTTTTTTTGGGGGGGGGGGCAAGGGGGAGTACCAGGGATTGAACTCAGGGGCACTAGACCACTGAGCAACATCCCCAGCCCTATTTTGTATTTGATTTAGAGACAGGGTCTCACTGATTTGCTTAGCACCTTGCTTTTTACTGAGACTGGCTTTGACTTCGCGATCCTCCTGCCTCAGCCTACCAAGCTACTGAGATTACAGGCGTGCACCACGGTGCCTGGCTACACCAGTATTTTCTATATGACCATATATGGTATTATGAAATTAGGCATCGGTAAAAGATCCATTCTAAGTGCAAGGCAGACCGATGGATTTTAACGTAATAGAGGACAAGTTTACTGATCTGCTTTCAGATCCCATACTACAACTAACCTTTTAAAAATGCCGCTTGTTACAGAAAGATTGCAAGTTCACAGCATCTTAGCGAGGCCCTAAGCAACTCAGCAAGACCTTGTCTCAAAATTTAAAAGGGAGGGAGGGTGTTTGCCTGAGGATGTGGCTCAGTGATTAAGCGCTTCTGGGTTCAATCCTTCTTACCCACCCTACCCCTACATAAAAAGCCACTCATTGAGTTTTGGTGGAATATCTGAGAAGAATAATTATATGATCTGAAAGCTATTGAAATGATCTTCCCCTTTCCAACTACATAACTGTATGAAGCTGAATTTTCTTCGTCTACTTTAACCAAAATAATGTACCACAGAACAGACAGAATAAAGAAATGTCATTAAAGAGATTTGCAAAATTGGTGAAAAATGGCATTCTTCTCACTAGTGGTTTTTGGTTTAGAAAAGATATTTTTCATTTAAAAAGGAATATTAATCTGTTTTAATACTGAACAGGGTAAATATTACTAGAGATAACCCCACAAAAATATATGCTTTTTGGGGTCCTCAATAACTTTTAGAAAAATGAGTTCTGAGATCACTGTATTGTTAGAGATAATATCACCTACTTCTCAGACGTGGTATGAAAAGGGAAAAACACATTTGTCTTAAATACTTAGCACAGTGCCTGGCATACTGTAAGGACTTAAAAAACGCTGCTATGAATACTAATATCTTTACGATGACATTAGACCACTCTTATAAATAATTTGTGCACTTTTACAAATTAAGTTGTTAATGCAGTATAAAAAAGGGAAATATCCAATTTGTTAAAGGAAAAAGCAGCAACACTATTCTAACTTGTGCTTAGACTAACTGAAATGAAAAGGCAGGGTAAGGGCAAGAGAAACCTGGACTAAGTCCTGAATACTATGTCAGGAAACTAAAGATTGGGTCCAGGGAGGTAGGACCTCTAGTGTCTCAGGTATTATATCATAAGCAAGCCAGGGCTGACTCCAAGTCATTGCTACTTACCCCTAAAGCTCTCTCTTTTTTTATATTTTTTAGTTTTTTAGTTGTAGATGGACACAATACCTTTTTTTTTTTAAGATCCTTTTTTTTTTTAATTTTTTTTTTTAATATTTATTTTTTAATTTTCGGCAGACACAACATCTTTATTTGTATGTGGTGCTGAGGATCGAACCCAGGCCGCACGCATGGCAGGCGAGCACGCTACCGCTTGAGCCACATCCCCAGCCCTGGACACAATACCTTTACTTTGTTTATTTAATTTGTTTATGTGGTGCTGGGGATTGAACCCAGTGCCTCACGCATGCTAGGCACGTGCTCTACCCCTAAAGCTCTCTACCAAAAAGTAACAAAATCAGTTCTATGCACATACTAAAAAAACATGATAGAAAATAGAGTTGGAGCCAGGCACAGAGGAACATGCCTGTAATCTGAGCAACTCATGAGCTAAGGTAGGAGGATTGCAAATTCGAGACCCACCTCAGCAACTAAGGGAGGCCATAAGGACTTATAAGACCATGTCTCACAATAAAACATAAAAAAGAAGGAAGGCTGGGCATGTGGTTCAGTGGTTAAGTGACCCTGGGTTCAATCCCTGGTACCAAAAAAAAAAAAAAAGAAAGAAAACAGGGTTGGAAAAATTTCTTGAGGTCACACAACTTCTAAGCAATGATGGTGATATTAGCACATTGGTGGGTTTTTTTTTTTTTTTTTTTTTTAGTTGTAGATAGGACACCATACCTTTTATTATATTTATTTTTTATTTGGTGCTGAGGATCAAACCCGTGTCTCACACATGCTAGGCAAGCGCTCTACCACTGAGCTACAACCCCAGCCCAGCACATTGGTTTTATTCCAAACCCTGAGCTTTTCTACCACACTAGATGCCTTCAGCGATAGTTGAGATTGAAAAATATGCATGCTTTTTAAAGAATTGCAAAAAACAATGATTCCCACCAACTTCTAGAATCAGTACCCTAGTAGTACACAATTTTCCTTGCAAGGAAAGAACGGTACAAATGCTTCTTTCTTTTTGGGAACCTACTGATGGGACCACAGGACCAGGCTAGAAAAGGCCAACCCACCACCTGTCAGCTAGCCAGACCTAGAAGGATCCCAGTCTCAAACCATCCCAGAAGCTGATTGCAGACATTACCACTATGTCCTCAGGATACAGATTGTCACTGAAGGAGCCATCATCAAAGTTGACTTCATAGAAGGTCTCAGTGGTGAGTCTGACCACCTCACACTGGTAGAAGCGCCCATTCTTGTGCTTGCTAATGACCTTCTGGCCTGCAGTGATGCTCTGCAAGGCACCCTTGGCACGCTAGAAGAAAGAAGAAGCTTGGGTAACTCACATATGGGGCTGATAGGAATTGCAAATGGATACCAACATCAATCTGCCCCCCTTTATCAGAGACATATAATCATGGAAATGGAAAAGCAAAAAAGGAGAAAAACTGGGAGTGGAAACAGGCCATTCCAGATAATCCATTTCCCAACCAGGGTTCTGTTTTCCTCTACAAATTCGGTTCTCCTGAGTTCCCAGTGCACAACTGACCAAACTAGAACTGACCAAACAGCACCTACTAATGCACACACATCACATATTTGGGTAGAAAAATCAACAGTGACTGGAAACTCTGGGCACCAGGCAATGCTCCACACTGATCTGTGCACTAAGCTATACCTCCAGGGTGAGGGCACAAAGATTGAGATTTCCTTTATTTCCTCAGCTGCATACAACAAGTTGCCCCCACTATAAGACACCTATCACCAGATGCAGTGGTACACCCCTGTAATCCTAGCAGCATGGGAGGCTGAGACAGGAGGATTATGAGTTCAAATCCAGCCTCAGCAACAGCAAGGTGCTAAGCAACTCAGTGAGACCCTGTCTCTAAATAAAATTGAAAACAGGGCTGAGGATGTGATTCAGTGGTCAAGTGCCCAAGTCCAATCCCCAGTACCAAAAAAGAAAAAAGAGAGAGAGAAACCTATCATCTCTGGTGCCCTCTCCTTTCCCTTCTCATTCTAAACTAGTCCTTGATGCAAACAGGATAACAAAGTAAGGTGCAGGCTCATGTCCAGCAAGGCTCCACCCCTACTACCCCACCACCTGCCCACTCCACTCTAGCCATGTCACCCTCTCCTGTTCTCTAAATATACACGCTCTTACCTAAGGATCCCACTATCTGAAATGCCATTCCCCAGTAGTCTGCATATAACTCCCTCACATTCTGAGGACCACCCACTGCTGCCCTCCTTACTACCCACTCTTCTACTCACCTCATCCTGGTTTTTGTCTACTATACTTCTCACCATCCAAAATGCTATTTCCTGTGTAGTTTCTTACTGGTTTCCTATGTATCTTTCAACTAGAAGATACACACTTCATATATAAAAGTCCTTGAAGACAGGGACTTTTTTGTTTTGGTACCAGGGATTGAACTCACGGGCATTCGACCAGTGAGCCAGATCCCCAGCCCTATTTTGTATTTTATTTAGAGACAAGGTCTCACTGAGTTGCTTAGTGCCTCACAGTTGCTGAGGCTGGCTTTGAACTTGTGAGCCGCTGGGATTACAAGCGTGTGCTACCGCGCCCAGCTAGAACAGGGACTTTTCCTAGCATCTAACATAGTGCCTAGCACATAGCAGAAGCTTACTAAATAGAATGAAATCGTAAGATAAATACTCAACAGTACCCCAACTTCCTCTCAGCATCAGCAGTCTACAGCTATCAACCTAAGCATATGGAGTACTACTGTTTCATGATCAAACTCGGACTTCCCTACCAGACCTGGGAATTGATGCTACATCAGGCTTTTAGTCCTCCAAAGCCTCATTCCCACATTGCATATTTTCCCATCTCCCCAAGGTTCCACCCATACCGCTCACGACCTCTCATGCTCATTAAAATGCCTTTGTGAAAGAAAAGGATCCAGTCAATGGAGGACTTTTCTGTGATCCCAAGCAGAGTTAAAAGTTCATTCCCCTAGACTGATTCTCCCATGCTCTATCTCTGATTACTGTACTCACCACAACGCTGAAAGTCTGCATGGTCACCTATTCCATTAGACCATAACTTGCTGATGGCAAAGACTTCCCCCACTAGAGACTGGCATCTGATATGACTGTCCCATGGATCTCCCAAATTAGAGTACTCAAGAACCACCATACCAGACATGCCTTCTCTACAGTAGCATATGGCCCTCTTAATCTTTCTGCTGGCTGCTTTCACTTGTTCATGCTTTGCTATCTGTTCCTTACATTGGGACTATCCACAGCCTGATTTCCAATAGGAACTGGGTTCAAGTATCCGTCCAGAAACTGATAATCTCCAAATCTTCCCTCTCATCCTTAACCTAGCTGGAGACCTCGAAATCTACATATCCTTTCCTCTTTTTCATCCTTGTCCCTTCTCCTGACCAACCAGCCCTTCTCCATATCAATCCTGACTGCAGTTAGTAACATCATCATAAGTTAGTAACAGCATCCTTCCTGCCTCCTAAATTCAGTTATGTTCACTTTCCTTTCCCATTCCTCTTCTCCTCTCTCTCCCCCATCCCTCTCCCCATAGCAGTCCACAAACCCTGTCAACTGGACCTGTTAAGGATCTCAGGGTTAGACATGAACTTAAAACTCTATGTGTCCTACTTAAGACCTGTCTCCTATGTTAACTTGTTTCCCTGCCTTAAATTCTGATTTGTTGAATTCTCTCCTCAAACCACCAGAGTAACTGTTAGAAAATATAGTTCAAAATTGCAGTGTTCAGAGTTCTCCTGCACTGAAAGAGAGGTCAAACTCCTAAATGTAGCAACCTAGGGCCTTCATCTTCCTTGCTGCTTACTTCTCAAGTATCATCCCCCAACACAGGCCCAAGATCAGCTTGAATGTTCATTCTTCCAAGATTTGTTTCTTCTATTTCTGAAGCCCTGAATGCCTTCCTGCTCATAATTCCTTCTTACATTCAAGACCTCTTTGAATGCCACCTTCTACCCAGACCATTTCATAACTCCTCTAGCTAACTTTTCACTTATCTTTCTCTGCATGTCACCATTTAGAGGACTACGAAAATCCCTACTGCATAGCAGTTAATGGTGAACTGTCAGGAGCTCTCCCCATCAGTTCTCAAGATTAATAAGAGGTGGACCTTCAAAGAGCTTATCCTAGTGGAGAGACAACCAAGTTAACAGATAACCCAAAAGAATCAACCACAAGCAGCTTGGCAGAGACCTACAGGAGCCCCTTCTTAATGACTTAATCATTAGCACTCTCCATCAAACACAATACTTGAGGAAACACTTGCCAACCCAATAAATGCACATATTATGCAGAGAAAATGGCCCTGAAGACTATCAAGGACTTCTGAGCTGCACCCTTCCTCACCTCCAAGTTGGGAATCTTGTGCCGAAAGCAGGTAATGAAGACAACAAAGGGCCAGTCATCCGGCTGCATCATCACTCCAGCAGCCTGGGCACAGCTCACATGGAAGGCAGTTGGGCAACGGCCGTGAGAACACTGCACACAGCAGCCAGCATTTCTTTTCCTCCGCTTCTTACAGAAGACACATTTCTGCATCCAGAGGAAGAAAGCCAATGATTCTAGGAATTGACAGTCCAGCTTCCCCTAGTGTTACTCCATCCAAATGCACAGAGCCACCCTCCTCCCAGAAACATGAAGTACACACAGCCTACTCTAATCCCATGTCTAATCATATATGATGTTAAGTTATTTAACAGAAACCAAGGGATAAAGGTAGCCACTGGGCCAAGCAGAAAGGTACTGTTGCCCTCCACCCAGAGACTTATAACTAGGGTAATTATGTGGGGCCTATAAAACCATCACTTATTCCTTACCAGTTTGAAGCGGGGCAGGGGGATTTTGCTCACATCCACAGGACTTCTTTCTGCAATATTGACAAACCTTGCTTCCAGGATCGCCACAGCACATGAAACATGAACCCATCTGCCAAAAGGCAAAGGCCCCAGTCACCTCTGGATCTAAGGCCCTGTGGCCTTCCCTTCTAAAGTAGGCCTCCCAACAGTGCTTCTTCCCTCACCCAGTGTGGCCCCTAACTCCCACCAACCAGTTCCAGGGACTCAAGAAAGTTAGAGCCATACTGCCATCATACTGAGTACTGTGGACACCCTACCCAAGGTTAGGCCAGGTCATACTTCTTATACCACTCCCTCAGTCTGGGGCAAAATAAGCAGAGCCACAGTTAATTGGGTGTGGTGGGTTTCAGGAGTGAGAATAAACTAGGGAGCTCTACACTGAGCTCTTTACCACAGAACCCAGGTGCTTCTTGAAAACATCTCCACTATTCACCAATCTGCCAATAATCTTCCCTAGGCTTCTGCCAAACCCATTCCCTGGGCTGAAATAACCTCTCTCTTCTTGCTCTCTTTACCCATGAAAAACTCAAGTCTTTAAGGTTTGGCCCAGGCCTCACTGAGAGGTATACACAATGGACATCCACAGAAAATTAAAGTAAGTTATAGGCATTTGGGGAAACCAGAATGTGCCAAGATGAGAAAAACTAAGATGGCAAAAGCTCTGAATTTTAGCTCAGGGGTACAGCACACTTGCCTAGCATGTGTGATGCCCTGGGTTCAACCTCCAACACCACACACACACACACAAAAAAAATCATTGAAAACCTTCAACAAGGTCAGGTGCGGTGGCACGTGCCTATAATCCCAGTGGTTCAGGAGGCTGAGGCAGGAGGATTGCAAGTTCAAAGTAGCCTCAGCAACCTAGCAAGACCCTGTCTCTAAATTTAAAAAATATAGAGAAAGGGCTGAACATAGAGAAAGTGGTTAAACATTCCTGGGTCAACCCCTAGTACCAAAAAAAGAAAAAAAAACCTGGCAGGACTGTTATGTGGGAGCAGTAACAGATTTGTTCTGTGTACATCTGAAGGGTATAAAAGGGATTAAAAGGCAAAGGTGAGCCATGTGTGGTGGCGGATGCCTATAATCCCAGCAGCTTGGGAGGCTGAGACAGGAGGATAGTGAGTTAAAAGCCAGCCTCAGCAACTGCGAGGCACTAAGCAACTCAGTGAGACCCTGTCTCTAAATAAAATACAAAACAGGCTGCGGATGTGGCTCACTGGTTGAGTGGCCCTGAGTTCAATCCCTGGTAACAAAAAAAAAAAAAAAAGGCAAAGGTGAAAAGCTAAGTAGAACCATTTCCACTTCAAAGAAGGAAGAACATTACCAGCCCTATCCTGAAACTATGAAGAATACAATTTCTCTAGTAATGGGAGCAAGTAGCTTTAAAGGACTGAACTGGCAGCAGAACAGCCATGCATCAGAAGCAGCATGACAGAGATCCTGTGAGGCAGGAGCTGCATTCCCACAGGGTTTTACTTGGAAGCAAGATGTCGACCATTGGCTGCCACCTACCTGTGTACACTGCCCCTTAGACAGCCAGCTCTACAAGGTAAAAACCTCAGAGCAAGTAAACAGGAGACAAAAATGCAACTCTGTGAAAATGAGTTGCCTAATGTGGAAAACCCAGAAACTTCTGTATGGAAGTTTCTGGGTTTTCCACATTATTTTCCACTATTTAACAGTGGGCGGACTGCCTGAGTTCTACTCAGTGTCCTTCTAGAGGACACTTGCCCTCTCCAAATAACAAGTCTGAGCCAAAGTTTTCTCTGATGAAAAGTGCTCACTAGACTATGGGCATGGCCATCTCTGCATATCAGCAGGTAAATGTTCACACCTCCAGCCCACAAAGCTCTTGCACTGACTTCTCCAGGTTTTCATACTCTCCTAAGTACATTCTTATCTCCTCTAAAAGGAGGATGTTACTTACATCTCTGCCATCAGAGGGGAAAGGAGTGAAAAGATCTGAGACTACTTGACTCCCCTTGGTGTCTTTGTTAAAATTAGTCTTGGTATTCTAAGAGCTCCTCAGAGTGTGCTTCCCAAATCCTCACTTGCAAGAGCTTATGTAGACAGTGCCCCTACACACTGCTTCAGCACTGAGCCTGGGCATTCTGAGACTGCTCAAAACACTTACCTGTCATCATTTGCTCTCTGTAGGGCCCCTCCTCGTAAGGAGCATAAACAGCAGTCCTGCCCAGAAGGGAGAGGGAAGAAGAAATTGGTCACCACCAAGTCACTAACATCCAATCTGCTCTCCCCTCCACCTTTTGTGGGCAACTCTAACCTTGGGCTTAGAAAGCAGTGTAATGATAGGTAGGGCTTCAAACACACACCTTATACCCAGGACTCCCCTGTAGAAGACAGATGCCATGTGGAGCAGAAGATACCAAGTATTCACTTGACTTAACATAATCCTCTTTGCTGTTAATGTTCATAGCAACTCTGAGCAAAGTTGCAAAACTGGAAGCACCATAAGGCCTAGTCTGCTTCCTGGGCAGGGTGATGCCACACTCCAGGGGCAATGATGAAGAGATGGTTGCAAAATGAATCACCTAAGTCCCCATCCTAAGGCTCTAACTTCAGAGGTGAATTATTTAAAGGGGGCTGTATATGAATACTCCACATAAAGGCCTCAACCTGGTTTTCAATTAAAGGAGCAAACATCTTCCAGATCCACTCAGGCCTTACCACAAGTGGGCAGCAACTACTCTGTCATAGGAATTGTTTACATAGTATATACTCTCTGACATCACTACCATGCCCTTCATGGACTGCAGTAGACATAAAGTCCAGCATGAAATAGCCCGGCCCCAAACATATTCCAAATCTCATGGGGAAGACAGGAAGAGTGTGGGAGTACTCACTTCCTCCAGGGCATTGGCTGAACACCGAGAACACATCCACTCTTCAGAAGCTTTGGCTGGGGGAACCCCATAGCAACCTAATAGGGACACAGAGAAAAGCAAATTAAACCCAGAAGTCAGAGTGAGAATATGGATTTGCAATTTTTTTCCATAGACCACCTCCCAAAGACACCAAATGCTACAAAAACACCTGAATTCTTGGTCAGAGATCCCAGGGCTCAAATACACAGTATGGCCCAAGGCCATAAAAATTGTATTCACGGGCTGGGGATATAGCTCATTTGGTAAAGTATTTGCCTCACATGCACAAAGCCCTGGGTTCAATCCCCAGTACCACACACACACACACACAAAAACTTTATTCACTGGTACAAACACCTATTAAGTGGCACAACTAATCCCCTCTGGACATGTGCAACCAAGAGGACAGCACATTGCTGACTGGTGCAAGCAAACTCATTGACTGGCAACAAATTCTCCAAGAACACATAAGCAGCCTTTGCACTGGGGGTAGGGAGGGCCACATGTGAAAAGGACATCCAGTTAACTGGAGCATGCTCCTGGCAGAGGATGCAAAGAAAGGCAAGAGGCACTCACTGGCATGGACCCGGACACTGCACTTCTTGCAGGAAACTAGAATGCTGGTGCCATCCTCCTCAAGGTAAGGAGTAGAAAGGTTGATGTCTGTGCTGCAGCCAGTTGAGGTGAAGCACATTTCTGGAATCAATGGCTTGGTCCTCTGCTTCTGGGGGGCTACTTCTGAAGTGTTTCCACAGTTCTGACTAAGACCTCCAAACTCAACCTAAGGGGAAAAAACAAGCATACAACACAGTGAGCTGCACTTATGCTCTCAGCTTCCCACCTGCTCCATCAGCAGAAAGCTGCCTCTCTTATCGATACGACTATGGCTACAGCTCCCGGGTGCACAGCCATTATCCCAGAGCTACTAATTGAAGTTACCTCTAATGACTCAAATTCAATTTCTCACAGCAGCATCAAACAAAGGCCCCTAGGGGACAACTGAGAAGAGGGAGCGAGGTAAGAGGCAACTGGGATTTCAATCTTTCCAAACTGAGTGGTAATAAAATGCACCAAGATATTGGCAACAAGGCTGCCACTGAGGGCGCCTATGTGCCGTAATACACTGTGGTCCCACTCAGGGACAGCACCCAGCACAGAAGCTCCTAATGGGCCAGCACAGATTGCCTCTGATGGTCTAAGTCAGCAGGTCACCTGAGCTGTTACATAACTGGAGTCCCATCTATGATTCCAGGCTTCAGGCCCCTTCAGGAAGAACATTACATCCACATACTTCCCTTGGCAAACTATACTGACTCTGATGCTGGATGGCACTGTTAAGCTCACTCCAAAGATGGAGCGCCAAAACACATCACCCTCTGAATATATGCCATTTATATAACTCTTAGTAGAGCTACAATTGGTAGATTCACTCACAGTAACCACCACCAGGTCAATCACTTCCCCCCAACACAATGGCACATATAGGTCTTCATTTTGGTTTCTGTCAGTGGAAAGTAGTGAGTTACTAGTCCAAAATGTGCTGGTCTGAGGTTTCACTCTTTATCATGAGTGAACCCGGGGTCCTGCCAGGCTCAGGACAGCAAATGCCCCTTTAACCACCCAAAGGAGACTGCTCAACTGCATGTCACCCTGTGAAGGTTCCAGCTGGGCCTGAGCTGGCCACATGGCACCTGCTGCTATTAATGCCTCCTGGCCTTCCAGAGCCAGTCCCTGAGGGATGCATGATGGTGAAGCCATCAATGCACCAGCATGGGACAGGCACAGAGGAGCTCAGCAGCTGTGCTTTTCCCACCCCCTTGTTTCAATCAGGCCCTCTGCTTCTGCCCTGCCCTAGTTACTTCTGGTCACTGGTAACACCAACTGTGACAATGGGAAAGAAAAGAAGGTGACAACATCAGAGGATCTGGTTTTTAACCTGAAGTTCAGGCTTTGATAAATAACAGCCCTGTACCCTGACTGACCAGAACTGCACAACACCTGGGAGGAAGAGTCTCAGATGGGATGATGAAAAAGCAAAATTCTCTGCAAAGAGTTAAAGTCTGTGATGAGTGCAAGTTCAAGGGGAGCCTGAGCCACATCATCTCCAAAGCATTCTCAAGTAAAAATCCACAGTGCTGGTTCATCTGCCCTGTGAAACCTGACCAATAAAAGTGTCACCAGAGGAGGACTGGAGAAGGTATGAAAGACCAGGACTTCAACTCAGGACAATGGGGTCCTTGACATATGTGATGGAAAAGAATTTCACTATATGTCAGATATTGAGGAGCAAGCAGAGAATTATTCAGGAAAGCAAGGATTACATACCAAAGGTGGAAGAAAGAATATGGGCTATCTTGAGAGAGAAGTAACCCTTGTGTGGGGTGTTAATATTCATAAATTAGCAATCAGAGTTACACAATTTAGGGGCAAATATCCTTGTACTTGTGCATTGCCCTCACATCATGCTACTTTCTGCAGGCAAGGATATGGTCACAGGGATGTATGTGTTAGGTTACTTTGCATTCCAACAGTTTGTGAGCACTTCTCTTTTGAAACTCAGTATTTTCTTTTCCCCCTCTATCCCCAAACTCCTATTTCACATGAGTGGGGCAGAAGAGGAAAATAGGGGAGAAAAAAAGCCCCTCTTAAGACAAATAAAAAGTACCCACAATTAAATCTAGCTTCCTGTGATTACTGGTCCTAGGTACACAGAGAGTGTGGAATGGTCCTACCTGATGGTACGTTTGAAAGATCATACAGACAGCACAGTGAGGGGCCTGCTGGGCCATGGTCTCATTGAATTCTTTTTCAGCCTCAAAGTTCGGAGGTCGGTTCTGCCACAGCTGGCTCAGGGGCTTGGCCCAGGCCTCTGTCTCCTCAGCCTCCTCCTCAGGGGACAGCTGTTCAGAGGTCTCTAGGACAGAAAAAGAAACATAAATCAGCACCAGCCATGCACACTAGTGGTATGGCCTGAAGAGCAGATAAGCTCAGTCAGGACTCCTAGACCTTGGTTTGGACTGAACCAAAGACTCCTAAGGCTTGCAAAGGCCAAGGGTAAAATGATTATCAACAGACCACTTTACTGTATGTATATACGTGACTCCATGACCAATGTGATTCTGCAACCTGTACACTCAGAAAAATGAGAAATTATACCCCATCTGATTCAAATGTATGATATGTCAAGATCATTGTACTGTCATGTGTATCTAATTAAAACAAATAAAATTTAAAAAAAAAACAGATCCCTTTGGTACCTAGTTGATGTTGTGGGTTGTGAAGTGCGATGACAGTGATTGGGAGACCAGTATCTGAGACTGGGGTCCCCGATGACTTCATGGCTGTGGCATGCGTGATGACTGGGAAAGTTTCTATGTAAAGGTGTAGAATGCCCAATTACTATGGTAATGCTCTCCACAGGGAGACCCTGTTGCTAGTCTTATCAGCTTCAACCTTGCTCTCAGGCACACAGCTCCTGGGAATGAAGGAACTTCCTTGCTAAGATAACCAGTTCCACTGCTCTGAATCTGCCACAAATTAACTTTAAACAGTGGACTTGCTTGAGCATTTCAAACATTGCACACTGCAACTGCAGAATGTAACTGAGGAAATAGCTGCATAGTGTTGCTAACTCCTATAACTTTCATGAATACAAAGAATAATGCTTGCATCGTCTTTAATCTGATTAATGAGACATATATAATAAAGATTGCTGGTGTAATTCTTTAGACCTGTTTCTTCATCAGAGAGCGGTGCTCCACCCGATCATAGCTTTACCTTCAAGATCTGCGTGTATGACTCCATTTTTTCTAATCTCCTATCGCCCTCGCCAGAACCTGCTAGTTTGGCCACGTTGGTCGCAGCAGTGGGTCTTGCCTGTACCATTTCTCTGGCAAGAATAATTAATGGTCTCTACTCTTCCTTTTACCCAGGAGCTCAGCCTGTTCTGCTCCCCTTAACAGCTGCCACATTCAACCCTCTGCCCTCTCCAAGGACAGCAAAGTGAGGCTCCACCTTCCTTCCCTCTGTTATTAGTTGCCTCTAAAATGTCTGCACCATAAGTCCTTTCCCTTCATGAATTTTCCCTTCAGTTGTACTAAAGGGAAACAAGGAAGGAAAAATAAAAGGGAACTGGCAAACTTTAAAGTTTGTCACATGATGGTCTTTGGTCAGGACTTGCCAGCTTCCCCTGGAAAGGTCAGTGGGTATCTGCCTATTATGAGCAGGGAATCCCCAATTCCTCCTGGCTTTGCCTAAGAGGAGAGCAGTGCCACATGTCCACAGTGAATCCTTATCTTAGCCCTACAATGTAATGCTAAGTCTGACCAGAGGTTGGCCAATAACAGCCTATGTGCTGAATCCAATGTCTCAGGAAGCTAAGAATTAAATTTATATTTTTAAGAGTTGTACTAGGTATCCCCATGTTCCTTTCTGGAAGTAAAGACAAATCATTTTCTAATCTGCCTCACAGTCATGTTCAATATGAAGGCATCTGGCAACTGCCATTGTGTGGAGACTCAGTGAAGGCCACTGTAGCATAAGGAGACCAGTGCAGGCAAGTAAAAGTAACCCCTCAGAGCCTCACTGTTCGAATCCAGTCAGGAGCCATGGTGCCCACAGATTTGTCTCATAACCTTGGCCTAAAAAAGAGTGACTGAGATGTGATGAAAGAAACAAAAACAGACAGGCTCATAATAACAACCAAAAACGTAAGACTTTAGAAAGTCAAAAGTGGCCAAAATCATTCCATATGTGAATACTGAATGATAAGGGAAAATGTTCACTGTGTTAAGTGAAAATTGCAAGAATCAAAATTTTAACATTTCACATACGTGAAACTTCACAGAGACTTATAGTTAATTCTTAACATTTCACTAAAAATGTTATGCCTCAACTACAAATATATATTTTTTAAAAATGTGGGGCAAGGGCCAGGCATGCCTCAATCCCAATGCATGTCCATAATTCCAGCAAGTAAATGTTTTGAGGCAGGATAATCCCAAGTTCAAGGCCAGCCTCAGCAACTTAGCAACACCCTGTCTTAAAATAAAAAATAGAAAGAATTAATGATGTAGCTCAGTGGTAAAGCACCCCTGGGTTCAATTCCTAGCACACAAAAAAATTTAAATTTTTTTAAAAATGGGGTAAGGATATACCAGACTAAAAGAGACTAAAGAAAGCCAACTTACAAGTATAATGTATAACCCTAAAACACATTATTGGGGTGAGCAGGAAAAGAAAGATCTGTTTATGGAGCTACTGTCCTAGTTATGACAGCAGTCTAGTATTTAAAGGAGATTCCTTCTTAGGAAATGTGCCTATTGCTATATTAAAATGAAGTAATCTGATGATTACAACTTACTTTCAAAGAATGTGAAACACAGGTGTGTATATATATATATGTACATAAACTAAGTTACTGAGAGAAAGAAAGCAATAAGGCAAAACTAAGTGACACTGTTCTGGTTAAGAATCGTTAAAACACACATGGAAGCTGCCATCTTGCGTCCCCGCGTGTGTGCGCCTAATCTCAGCTGGTCTGCCTGAGACCCCGAGCGCCAACCCTAGTCCCCCGCGCGGCCCCATTTCCGCTCCGACAAGATGAAAGAAACTATCATGAACCAGGAAAAACTCGCCAAACTGCAGGCACAAGTGTGAATTGGTGGAAAAGGAACTGCTCACAGAAAGAAGAAGGTGGTTCATAGAACAGCTACAGCAGATGATAAAAAACTTCAGTTCTCTTTAAAGAAGTTAGGGGTAAACAATATCTCTGGTATTGAAGAGGTGAATATGTTTACAAACCAAGGAACAGTGATCCACTTTAACAACCCTAAAGTTCAGGCGTCTCTGGCAGCAAACACTTTCACCGTTACAGGCCATGCTGAGACAAAGCAGCTGACAGAAATGCTACCCAGCATCTTAAACCAACTTGGTGCAGACAGTCTGACTAGTTTAAGGAGACTGGCTGAAGCTCTGCCCAAACAATCTGTGGACGGAAAAGCACCACTTGCTACTGGAGAGGATGATGATGATGAAATTCCAGATCTTGTGGAGAATTTTGATGAGGCTTCTAAGAATGAGGCAAACTGAACTGATCAACTTCTGAAGAAGATAAACTTGAAGAAGTTACTGGGAGCTGCTGTTTTATATTATGACTGCTTTTTAAAATTGTTTTGTTTATGGATCTGATAAAATCTAGATCTCTAATATTTTTAAGCCCAAGCCCCTTGGCCACTGCAGCTCTTTTCAGTTTTTGCTTATACACAATTTATTCTTTGCAGCTAATTAAGCGGAAGAAGCCTGGGAATAAAGTTTGAAAAAAGGTTAATAAAGCTCTTTGCCTAGTAAAAAAAAAAAAACACACACACATGGAAAGCATAAAATGATTCCATCTCTTCAGCTTACCATATTTGAGCATTTTTCATCACAAAAACCTGGGGGAGTTTATCAGATTATTTTTAAAAAGACATACATGGACATAATATGTATGTATGGAAAAATCAACAAGATGATACATTATATTCACTGTGCTCATCTCTGGAGAATAGGCATATGGGAAATTTTCTTTTCCTCTATAACTTTTCTGCTTTTTCAGTTTTCTACAGTCTGTGTTCTTCTAAAGCATGAAGTGGACAACCACAAAAGTAGGCTAGAGCTCTTCTTGGAACTGGACCAGAGCACAAGTTCAGGGGACACCTTGAGACCCAACTCCAGATCTGGCCACTATTCTGACTATTCCCCACCTAGCTTATCATAAGCTTTGTACCAATGAAAACTGCAGAGATGGGGCTCTGACATCAGATCATAAGGAGAGGACAAGGTGGGAAAAGGCCCAGCACTACTCAAAGTAACAAGTCAAGTGACTCCATTCTCCCAAGTGTGCTGAGGCTCTTCAGCACTCTTCCTATTGAGTCCTAGGCTCCAAGCAGCATAGGAAACCAGACTCCACTACTGTCCTCATTCCCTGAGCTTCAGTGCCACAGTTCCTGGTTTTCCTTGCATATGTCTCCTCATCCTCTTCTCTGTCTCCTTCACAGGCTTCCTCCTTCCTTCCTCTGTGCACCTATTCTCAACCTCTGCTCACTCATTTCCGTGCTTTCTCTATAGCTGACCAAGTCTACATCCTCCAGACACTGAATGCAGGTCTCCAAACCCAACCAAAGCTATAAACCAGAGAGGCCATCAATTCATCTTTCTCCCTTACTGAGTACCCTCACAGCTCTATACCAGTCACCAAATTCAGCTGGCCTGATCTTCTCTATACTTCCTTCTTGCACCCCTCCCACTGCCATCCTTAGATCTTATATCTGAGAAGCTCAACTGGTACACTCAAAGTCATTCTCAAGAAGCTATCATCACGAGGAACAGTCTTTCTAATGTCTATCTGACCATGCTATTCCTCTGCTTAAAATACTTCAAGAGCTCCAGAATGCCTGTGAGAAAAGGTTCTCACTCTGGGCTCACAATAACGCTGTCTATGACTTGACCTCATGACTACTTTGCTCCTCCTATCCCACCTGTCACTCCCTAGCTTTACCCTTGAACTTGAGCCACACTGAGCCAAGAACAGTTCCCTGCATATCCACTCCTGTTTCTCTTCTCCATGATTACTCATGCGGTCTCCTCTGCCTGGATTGGAGCCTCTTCTTTCTTTAATCTGTTTGCCCCACTACCCTGTGAGCATCTGGAGGGAACAGACCTATCTTATTTACCTTTGTATCCACACATCCAGCACAGGGCTTGGTATCATTGACAAAATTTGCTATTCTGAAAAAAAAAAAAATTAGCCTTGTATCTCCTAAGAAAGGAAAGAATCTGCATACGATTTTCCTATATTAAGTATGTATCATGATACTCGAACTGATAATGAAATTCGATTAGCAAATTAGATACAAAAAGAAATCCCATCATCTGTATGGAGTATTGGGAAAAACACTTAAGCCATAGGTCCATTCTTGTTTCTGAGCATGACCTTCTGACATCTTATCAGAGCAAGTCCCAATGTGATGAGCCTCTTTCTCCCTAGTGAAGAGAGGAGACTAAACTTACCATCATCACTGACACAATCCTGTAACACCAGTGGGTGATGGCGTGGAAGCTTGCTTAAGGGCTGTCGGCGACCCTTTGACTTCTTATTCTCTTCCAGGGAAAACATGTATTCATCTGCAACCTGAGCATACCAAAGGGAATCCAATTAGTCTTGCCTCAACTTGACACACAGCAGAGGTTTGACTTACAATGAAAACCAACTGGGGAGTGAGGGGGAGGGCTGGGGATGTCACTCAGTGGTATAACACTTGCCTAGCATGTGCATGGCCCTGGATTCAATCCCTAGCAACCTAAAACAAATATACCAAAAACAATCCTTCTCCAGGTCAAAAAAACCATGCACCTCCCCCCTTAAGCTGACTGTTATGAGACAAGTCTGTGAGCCCCACAGGAGCCCAACTGCCCCATTCTTGGGACTAGGAAGTCAGTATAGCATAGCACCAATTATAATTTTCCAGGTAGCAGGGCCATCCAGGTTGAAAGTCTAAAGAACATTCAAAGGGATGAGGGCACCTGAACCATTACATGAAAATAGACCAGATTTTCCTTATAAAATGTTGAGCCTTCAGCTCTAATGGAGACTGTTAATTCCTGTTAGTTTCTCCTCTAGGGGAGAATATCAGCCAGAGCAGAGTGCATCTAAAACTCTGCCTTAGCTACAATGGGAAGATTGATTTAACACTACATTTACAGAATGCAAGAGCAGATGTAATTAGGTTTAAGATGTACAGGATTGACTCAGTAATACTACATAAGAGTTTCTTTTTAATCAACACACTTAAAATTTGGTCATACTGACATTAGGAGATGCAGGGTTGGCAAAACCGATTAAGCAAGGAAATGAAGCCTGGAAGAGGGCCACTTTGCAACAGTGAAAAAAACTAATGCCTTAGAGTTCTAAAGAGAAGTGGCAGCACTGCAGTGCCACTTCAGAAAAGATGCTGGAGCTCATGAACTCTACGTGCAACTACACAGAACCTCAGAGTCTAAGGACCACAATTGGGATCCCAAGACAAAACAAATTGTGCACCAGCCAGGTACAGAATAGAGCCTGCTCCTCCAGAAGTTAATATTATTAATAGGTTTCAGTGTCCACTTGTTCATTCATTCAACACATATTCACTGAGAACCTACTCTGTACAAAGAAAGATCTACACAGGAAAAAAAGGAAGTGTGGAAAAATGGACTGAAAGAATTGTGATCCTGGCTCACATGAGCAAGTAAGAATGACAGAATACAGGAAAAGGTGAAAGACTGAAAACCTTAGGAACTGTTACTCCTGATGTCCACAAAGACTAACACAATCACAAACTTTCAATTATACCTACACTACACAGTCTAAAGTGGCAGGAAACTACATCAGAAAACTAGGGGTGTCTTAGTGATACAGCATGTACCTCTAGTATACATAAGACCCCAGTTTCAAACCCCAGCATTATAACAACAACAAAAAATATGTATTTCAGCAATACTCCTCAAGAACCTCCATCAGAATGAACTGGGCCCTACCTCATTTCTGGCCATAACAGCTTTGCTTTTGATTTACATTTTCAAATGAGTAAGATTTCACTTAAGGAAAGGTTCTTTGGCCACACACAGTGGCACATGCCTGTAATCCCATCAACGTGGGAGGCTGAGGCAGGAGGATCACAAATTCAAAGCCAGCTTCAGGAATTTAGCAAGACCCTGTCTCAAAATAAAAAATAAAAAAGAACTGGGGATGTAGCTCAGAGGTTAAATGCCCCTGGGTTCAATACCTTGTACCAAAAAAAGAAAAGGTTCTTTGGCTACAACAAACTGGAATCCCCATACTTGCCAAAAATTTTTTGGTAGTGTTTGCATGTGAATGAATTTTGGAGGATGCACTCCAAAACATACACACACACACACACACACACACACACACACACACACACAAATATGTAGGTATGTATTTCTTTTGTTTTGTACTGGGGACTGAACCCAGGGGTACTTTACCACTGAGGTACTGCCCCAGCTCTTTTTATTTTTATTCTTTATTTGGAGACAGGGGACTTGCTAACTTGCTGAGTATCTTTGCTTATTTGCCAAGGCTGGCCTGACACTTGTAATCCTCCAGCCTCAACTTCCAGAATAGCTGGAGTTACAGGCCTGTGCCATCATGCCCAGGCTCTTATGTGTTTTAAAATAAAAATATCCTGTAAAAGGATAAGATAAAAATAAAGTTCATGTTATTCCTATACCCCAACAATCTTCTTGCACTCCCCACTTTGAAGATGCCTATATAATAGGCTAAACTTGCCATGTGTTTAGAAAGAAAAAGGATGAGAATAAAGGAACCAGAAACAGTGGCGATTTCTAGCTTAGATCACCAAGGTAAGAGAGGTAAAAGATGCTTAAGACCATGTGTATGGAGGAAGTAGGGGATAACAACAAACCAAATTAAACATGCTGTGTGTGGAACACATGCTATAGATCCATGGTTCTCCCATTTGGAAATCTCAGGGAGGAAGTAAGAAATTCAGACTGGGGTTTAGAAAAGAGGTCAGAGCAAAAGCTGTAAATATGGGAATCCTCACCATGGGTTCAGTAATAAAAATTTTGCCAGACAGCATGTACCTGCTTACAGTCCACTGGAGCCCACAAGTTAAGATAGCCTGGGCATTATAGTAAGGCCCTATCTAAAACCAAAACAATTAGAAAATCAAAAAATACAGAATTAAAATTGGAGTGGATGAGATTACCAGTGAAAGAGAAGTTTGACTGAAGATCAGGTCTTCTGTGGCTATGGGGATGTAGAGAAGAGGCAGACAGGTAAGAAAAAGATGATTCAGAGGCAGACAGGTAAGAAAAATTTCAGAAAGCTAAAGAAGGGGCAGCTTCAAGAAGGAGACACCAGAAGAACTGAGCATCTGGGAGTTGCCAGGACTTATTTTTGAGATTAATTCCAGCAGACAGACAATAAGGAACTAAGACATGAACATATTATAGAGCAAAAGAAGGAATATTTCTATTTAAGAAACAGAATCAGATCATAGTTTGAGAAAGAAACATTCTCCAAAACCAAATTTTACAATAGGGGTTATATGAGTATGGTTTTATACCCAAAATATTAAAAAAAAAAAAAAAGGTTATAAAAGGGAGATGTTAAGACACATAGTAGAAAGGGGCTTGGGTTGTGGCTCAGTGGTAAAGCACTTGTCTCACATGTGTGAAGCACTAGGTTCGATTCTCAGCACCACATATAAATAAATGAATAAAGTAAAGGTCCATCAACACCTTAAAAAACATTAAAAAAAAAAAAAAAGATACATAGTAGAAAAAATTATGTTCCCAAAGGATGCCTACATTCCAATCCCTGTTAATATAACAAAGGAGAATTAAGGTTGCTAATCAGATGGCTGTAAAATGGGTATTATCCTGGGTTACCTGGCAGGCCCCATGTAATCACATTGATGCCAATAACAGGCAAGGAAAGCAAACGGAGCCAACTAGTGACATGATGTGAGAAAGATTTAGCCACATGTTGCTGCCTTTGAAGATGGAAGAGGAATCATAAGCCAAGGAATGAGGGTGGTCTACAGAAGCTGGAAAGAGCAAGGAAATGAGTTTTTCTACAGCTCCGAAGAAGGAACACAGCCCTATTATTATCCTCATTTTAACAGATTCATTGCCGACTTCTAAATTCAAGAACTATAAAATAATAAATTTGTGTGGTTTTGAGTCTCAAAATTTATGATAACTTGTCTCAGCAACAGAAAACTAATACAACGTAGAAGATAGACAGAGAACCTTTTATAGATCCAACTATTAGAGAAAATAGGAGTCAAGATCAAGAACAGCAAGCAGACTGTGGCTATGGGAAAGGAAGAAGATGTCTTTATTGTCCTGTTGGTCCAAAGTGCTTCCTATATTCCAGCATGTGATGCCCTGGTAATGCACAGAGGAAGGAAACATGACCTATAACCTTGAAGAACTTATAACCCAGTCAGAGAAAGACCTGATGTCACAGTATGGAAACTGTCCCTTTCCACTGACATCATGCTGACCAAACAAATCTTTTCAAATATGTGGAAATTGCCTGGCGCAATGGTGCACACCTATAATCCCAGCACTGAGGCAGGAGGATGGCGAGTTCAAAATCAGCTGCAGGAAAGGTGATATGCTAAACAACTGAGTGAGACCCTGTCTCTAAATAAAATACATAATAGGGCTGGGGATGTGGCTCAGCGGCTCAGTGCTCCTGAGTTCAATCCCCGGTACCACCCCCCCCCCAAAAAAATGTGGTTATCTTTTCACACTTCCTTATCTCTTAATTAAACATTCCTTCTGCTACATGGCATCCACAACCTCCTCACAGTGCTGCACTCCCTGAAATGTGCTCCATTTCCTAAATCCCTTCGGCATACAACAACATGATGGTACAAATTCCAGTTCAGCCATCTAGCTGTGGGCCTGGGTAAGAAGAAATACAACTACAAAAAAGGGGTAATGAACTATTCCCTTAAGGGCTCTTTTTGAGGATAGATGGGGCAACAGGTAGAATATTCCAGGTCCCTGCCTACAGGAGAGCTCAAGCCTCTAGAATTCTGTTCCTTCTTCTAACATCTGGCACAAGTGTCAAGGTAAATGATAAAGACTTGTTCTGTACAGAGAAGCAGCAAATGTTTTCCAGTTCTTGTTTGGAAACTCATTTTTTCAAAGCAGCTTTAACTAACTAAACCTTCTAGAGATTGAATGCTGCTACGGTTCATTCTATAGTTAAATGAAACTCTGGTACTTCAGCAATGAGCAAACCAGGGCACTTTCACCAAAAGTACAGTTTGCCAGAATGCCTTATAAAAGACCTTTAATATAAGCTAACATAACTGAATAGCAAACGGTAACAAATGCAGCTTGGGGGATCCTGAAGTTGTGTTGGAGAACAAAGGGCACTCTCAAAAACAGAGCTGTTTCCAAGTATAGACTTAATGCAATCAAACCTCTCTAGGGATGGGCAAAGCTATTTGACTTTAGGCCCCACACCTATCAAGTCTCCCATTCCACCTAATCAATCAGTCCTGATGTCAATTTCTTAGGAAAACAAACCTGAGCTGGGTGCAGTGGTGCACACCCGTAATCCCAGTGGCTCTGGAGGCTGAGGCAGGAAGATCACAAGTTCAAAGCCAACCTCAGCAACTTAGCGAGACCCTGTCTCAAAATAAAAAATAAAAAGGGCTGGGGATGTAGCTCAGTGGTTAAGCGACCCTGGATTCAATCCCTGGTGCCCCCCACCCAAAAAGAACAAACCTGACCTTGACCTTCTTTACAGTCACTCATTTCATGATTACAGAGGGCTCATGGGTCAAGCATGGTCTCCAGAAGTGAGGATGAATGTGGCACAGAGCCTAGCTTTTAGAAATTTATCTTCTTCACCAACCTATGGCAATTACTTTGAGGAGCAAGTACTACAGGATTTCAAAGGAGAAAGGGAACCATTCAGGAAGCAAGGAAATTTCTAGGAATAGTGGCTTTCAATAAAGGTTGGGTATGACAGATCCCAGGAGACCTGAGGAGACAACCTGCCTCCTTCTACCTCAAAACCATCCGCATCCTGGTGAAGGTCGCACAACAATGTGAAATATACTATTGCCACTGAACAGTACATTAAAGAATGGTTAAAATGGCAAAGTTTATGTCATGTGTATTTTATCACAACGTTAGTGGGGGTGGTGAGGAAAAGCCGGTCTGCAGTCATCCCTTCCTTTACTTCCACATGCACTGGCATCCTATTCCTACCCATCTTGTTAGACCCACCAGTATCCAATCACTCCCCTCTCCCCCATTTCCTTCAACTTCCCTCGCCTGGCAGGTTCCTGCCCTTTAATACAAGGCACCCATAGTCACATCTTGAGTACTTGAGTACTTCTCCCCTGGCTCTGGACAAATTCTCTCCTTGTTCCCCTGACCTAATTCTCAAAATAAAAAATAAGAAGGGCTGAAGATGTGGCTGAGTGGTCAAGCACCTCTGGGTTCAATCCCTAATACCAAAAATAAATAAAGATTTAAAAATAAAAACACATCTAAAGTAGGGAAGAAATGGCATAGTATATGGGCTTTGCTTTCAAAAAAAAAAAAATCAACAAATAAAAACAATGGGTAAAGAAAATGTGACGAGAGCCTAACTATTAAGATATAAGTAGTATGTGCAGGCTCCCTGCATTATTGACTTTGCATTTTTTGCCTGCATTTAAAAGAATATGGAGATAGTAGTATGAATTAGACATTATTACACTATGTGCATATGCTTACATGATCTGTGTAACTATATCATGTACAACCAGACGAATGGGAAGTTATACTCCATTTATATGTGATATATCAAAATGCATTCTACTATCATGTATAACTAATTAGAACAAATTAATATTAATATATAATATTAATATAACATGCTAATATTATTGGTATAATATTAATATAAGTTTTTAAAATATGGGCTGCAGTTGTATCTCAGGGATAGAGCTCTTGCCTAGCATGTGTGAGGCACTGGGTCCAATCCTCAGCACCACATAAAATAAATTTTAAAGAGGTACAACAAAATACAATAACATTTTTTTCAATTAAAAAAAAAATTGGGGCTAGGGTTATGGCTCAGCAGTAGAGTGCTCGCCTCACTGTGCAAGGCCCCAAGTTCGGTCCTCAGCACCACATAAAAATAAATAATTACAACTAAAAAAAATGAATGAATGAATAAATAAATAAATAAATAAAATTACACACACACCATGGAAGCTCTTGGTCTCCAAACTCAGATTGGGAGTAAGGGGCCTTCTTCTGCCAGCTCACCGTTCCCCCTCAAGCCTCTCACCGTGTTCAGGCTTTTTCTTTTTCTTTTATCTTGGGAACTTTACCACTGAGCTATATTCCTAGTCCTTTCTATTTTTCATTTTGAGATAGGGTCATGCTAAGTTTCTGAGGCTGCCCTGGAACTTGCAATCCTTCTGCCTCAGCCTCCAAAGTAGCTGGGATTACCAGTTCTTGGTGCTCGCTAATTGTATCCAGGGTCTTTTACAATCCTGTGACTGAGACAAAGTCAACCTCTGACCCCAATGTGCTATCATCACCATGTAGAACATCTTCCTCTCCTAGATTCTTGCTTCAATTTCATTCTGTCTACCTGGCATACTCTTCATAACCTCTTGGCTCAGGTAAAATGCCTCCTTCTCTACAGCCATCCTGAGCTCCTCTCCCAACCAGAGGCTAAGCTGCCAAATCTTCAGCTGATCCTAAATCACCTATCCTCAAGTGCTGGAATTATGTACTCCTTTCTATTCCTCTAGTTATTGAGGAACTTGAGTTCCTTAAAGGCACAGTCCTGGCCACAGTAGACAGGCCATAAGTGATTAAAAAGGAGAGCAATAAGGCAGGCAGTCACAGTATTTTTGGAGAATTTAAGTTGTTTAAGCCAGCCAGCACATGCTGGAGTAGATGGATGACTTCGCCATCAGGCTAAAACTGAGAAGTTCACACAGAAAGCAAAAGGAACCAGGAAGGCTTGTGAGCAGAGGACTGAAGAGAGGCTTGTTGGAAACATCCTTTGCCTGCAGATTTCCATGTGGAAGGATTCCTGGTTTCTCTCACTGCCTTGAATGTGTTAAGTATGCACCACCACTTAGCCAGGATCTGTCTTTTGCAGAAAAAAGTGTTCTAGTCTTACTCTTATAATGTGGACGCTGACTGGAAAATACTTTTCCCCAGGAGGAGCCTGTGGTTATCAGGACTGCCTATGACTAGGTAGATCATCCATCAAATTGAGATTAAATGAGTAGAAGGGTCATTTGGCCATGTGTTAAAAGTCATTTTGTTCAATCATGTTAATTGTTAATATGATAACATACAAAGCTCCATATGCCTGATTCTTCTATCACTTAACTGATTTAAAATTGGGGAGGAAAAGAGATGAATATCGTGGTATTTTTTATTGCTTCTTTGCATGCTTTAAAAAAAAATAACAGAAAAACGTGACTCTAAAAAAATTAAATTAAGGGGGCTGGTGTTATGGCTTAGCAGTAGAGTGCTTGCCTAGCACATGCAAGGCCCTGGGTTTTATCCTTAGCACATGAAAATAAATAAATAAATAAAGGTATTGTGTCCAACTACAACTAAAAATTAAATATTTTTTTAAAATTAATTTAACAGTAAAGCATAGACTGAACAATGCATATGAAGTATTTAGTATATAATTAGTCTTTGCTAATTCTTAGTTGCTTTCTGATCACGATGGAAACCAGAGGATGCTAGAAAAGCAGGACAGGGTGAATTGTGGCACCACAGAAGAACATGGAGGCTTGAGGGCTTGTGACCAAGAATGGCCAGATGGCAGTACAAGTCTAAGAACTCCAGCTTAGAAAAGCTAAAATCCCTGTCTCACAGATGCTCTCATAAGAGGCAATGAGAGCAGCAACCAGAGGCAATGAGAAGGAAACACAGTGGTTATTCGCTCATTAGCCTGCAACCACCATGAGATGAATGGTGGAACATTCAAATGGTAAAAGGAAGACTACAGAAACAGCCCTGAGACTCAGAGAACTCAAAGAGAAGAATCTGAGAATTAAAGACAAGGGGAGCTGGACACAGTGGTGCACATCTGTAATCCCAGCAGCTCGGGAGGCTGAGGCAGGAGGATCGAGAGTTCAAAGCCAGCCTCATCAAAAAAGAGGTGCTAAGCAACTCAGTGAGACCTAGTCTTTAAATAAGATACAAAATAGACCTAGTCTTTAAATAAAATACAAAATAGGGCTCAGTGGTTGAGTACCCCTGAATTCAATCCCCAGTACCAAAAAATAAATAAAAATTAAAGACAAGGGGAAAAAATAACCATAAAAAGGGACTACAGGCAATACTAAGAAAATATGGATACGAAATGAGTGTTACTAGTTCATCCAAAACAGATACAAAACAAATACTTCAAATGTTAATAATTATACATGAATGATGAGTGAGCATGGGAACTCATGATGGCATTCTATTTCCATGTACTTTAGAAATTTTTCAATAAAAACTATTTTGTTTTATTTTTAAACCCAGGGGCACTTTACCACAGAGCCACACCCCCAGCCCTTTTTTAAGAGAGGATCTCGCTAAGTTGCTTAGGGCCTAAGTTCCTGCCTCAGCCTCTCAAGTAGCTGGGATTATAGGCATACACCATGGTACCCAAAATAAAACACTTTGAGGAGATAAATTTTTAAAAAGTAAAAAAGGGACCAGAGGTGTAGCTCAGCGATAGGATATGTACTTAAAAGTACATAAGGCTCTGGGTTTGATACCAAGCACCTAAGAAAAAAAAAGTAAAGGTACAAGAACAAAGAATTACAAGGACCTTCTGCATCAGCTTCTACTATGTGCCACTCCACACAAGCAGAAGCTTGGTCCACACAAACTGTGAAGCCATGCAGTAAGAGCAGGTCACTTGGGTGGCAGGAGTCCAGTTGTACCTAACACAGCTCTGAATCCCTCTCAGCATGGAACCATTTTGCACAAAACAAACAAGAAAAAGCTTCTATTGACAGTGTGATCTAGGATGAAGGGTGAACAAACATGTTCACATTTACAGTTTTGGGAAAGTATCCTGATATCTAAAATGATCCCCTATCAATGATTTGCTGGGCCTCCCCAGGAAAATCAGGCTGAGAAATATACCCTTGAATTTTAGAGTAAAAGGGCCATCTAATCCTTAACCCCCAAGCATCTGGGCTATAATGGCTACCATTCTAACCCTGTACTTCTAAGGCAAGGAGTGTCAGAGGAAGGGGTCCCACCCCACACTAGAGTACATTCAACTGGGCTAAGGATCTGCCAGTCACTGAAACTGCTAAGATACAATGCTCTGGATCAACAGTAGAAAATTATTAATTCCCAGTAAAGAACAAGCTTGAAAAGAATGAATGTCACCTGGCTTTTTATCTGACAATAATGCATGCTGGAGGCATTGACAGGGGGTTTCTCCTGCTCTCCTGGACTCCTGCAGCACCTTCATCCCACAGGCCCACCTCCCCTCCACAGGTTGTCTTCCAGGGTAGCTGACTCCCAAACCACTGTCCACAGACATACCTCTGCCAGCTCCCGTTCACTGATACTTCTGGGGGCACTGCCTTTCTTCCTGATGCATGGCTCTCCCATGGTGACTCTGCCATCCCCTTTGGCATAGCTATGCACAGTGAGAACTCCTGTTTGCCCTTGAGCTTGACAGGAGAGTGGCTCACTGGTTTCTGAATCAGAAGAAAGAGAATCCCGAGAAGAACTGGATCCCAGGCTAGAAAATGATTTCTTTTTGGAACCAGAGAAGATAAGGCGTCCTCCCATAGAAGCAGGGTTCACAGAAAGATCCAGAGCAGCTGCCTCTTGTTCCTCCTCATCATCCTCCTCTTCTAGCTTGACGTTTTTGAGCTCTTCAAATTTAACATCAGTGGAGTCAGAGTAATCTGAAACATACACAGACATTAGAAAAGCCAGGTTCCTCCTGAACATGTGAACTTCATGAAGATAATGACAAAACACAAGGAGCACAGGCTGGAAGTAAGACCTGGCTTCAAATTCTGGCTGTCAATTACAGGGTCCTTGTGTGATCTGGGCTAACACGTCAGCCACACGGGCCTCCATTTCTTCCTCTAATTTATCATGTGAGGATACTACCACTTATCTTCAGACCTCCTAACTGTAACTGCTGGTAACAGCCTTCACAGAGAGCACTCAGCAAGCAGCTCTACCTCTTCCTCACAGTCCTGCAAGAGATGGAAGCCTAAGCTCAGCAGAGGATCCAGATACCCCAGCCAGAAGAATTGCTGAAGAGAAGCCAACCCAGCCTCAGGTTTGACTATACAGGACTATCTGACTGTGAGCAGACACACCACGGCATCATGAACAGATTTCTTCAAGCCTGACCAAGACTGACACAAGCCTCTCACTAACAATTCTAACCTCATGAACACCTGCTGACTGCTCTGAAGCACTACTGACCACACCATTCTCATACAAATGGACCCTCAAGCCCCCAAGTAAACAAACTCTAAAATGGCAGGCACCCTAAACTTGATCATTACATACACACAAATTAAATTACCACACTGTACCCCATAAACACGTACAACTATGTCAATTAAATATTTTTAAAAATAAGCCAGGCATGATGACAGCTACTTGCAAGGCTGAGACCAGGGGATCCTAAATTTGAGACCAGCCTGGGCAACTTGGCAAGACCTTATTTCAAAATTTTAAAAAAAGATGCTGGATATAATGGTACACACCTATAATCCCAGCAGCTCAGGAATCTGAGGCAGGAGGATTGCAAGGTTGAGAACAACCTCAGCCTCACTGCAAAACCCTTGAGCAACTTATCAAAGCCCTGTCTCAAAGTAAAAAATAAGGACCGGGCCGGGCACAGTTGCACACACCTGTACTCCCAGCGGCTCGGGAGGCTGAGGCAGGAGGATTGCAAGTTCAAAGCCAGCCTCAGCAAAAGCGAGGCACTAAACAACTCAGTAAGACTTTGTCTCTAAATAAAATACAAAATAGGGCTGGGGATGTGGCTCAGTGGTCAAGTGCCCCTGAGTTCAATCCCTGGTAATCCTAAAAATAAATAAATAAATAAGGACAGGGGATTTAGCTCAATGGTAAAGTGTCCCAGGTTCAATGAGTAGGATCAAAAACTACACAAAAAAATGGGGCTGGGATATAGCTCAGTTGGTAGAGTATTTGCCTAGCACAGATAAGGCCCTGGGTTCAATCCCTAGCACCACCAAAAAATAAAAATGAAAGAATAAAAATAGGGCTGGGATGGTGGCTCAGCAGGAGAGTGCTCACGGAGCACAGGCGGGACCCGGGTTCAATCCTCAGCACCACATAAAAAAATAAAGACATTGTGTTGTGTCCATCTACACCTAAATAAATATTTTTAAAAAATAAATAAACAAAAGAGCTAAGTACACAGCTTAGTGATAGAGTACCCCTGGGTTCAATCCTCAGCACTGTAAACAAAATAAATAAATAAAAGTAACGAGCAGGGTATAGTGGCATATGCCTGTAATCCCAGCTACTTCCAAGGCTGAGGCAAGAGCACTCCAAGTTCAAGGTGAGCCTCAGTCACTAAGCAAAGCCCTAAGCAATTTAGTGAGACCCTGTCACAAAATAAAAAATAGGAAGGACTAGGTACGTGGCTCAGTGGTTGATCACCCCTGGGTTTAATCCCCAATACCAAAAAATAAAAAATGAAAAGGTAAAATAAAATGGCAGTCCACGCTTACATCATCTCATCCCTCTTCTCCAGTCTCCTCTCCTGGTCACATAACTGTCTTCCTCTAAACAGACCACTCCTAATAGTCTATTTAGAGGAAAACCCCACCAGCTTCCCAAGACATGGTATTGCTTCCTGTCTTCATGGCTTGCCCAGCATCTCTGGCGTGCCTTGCCACACCTGCCCATTTTACTTCATCATCACCTTCATCAAATGTTTCAGTTTCCCTCACTCCTCACCAGGTGGGAAACAGGCCTTTCCCCTCCATGCCTGTTCCACCCTGAATATCCCTAAAGCACTTCTCATAGTCCAACTACAGGTCCTCACAGATCGTACTCTCTCCTTTTTTATTTCTGATCCTGCGCTCAATACGCACGGCATACAGGACAGACAAGGGCTGCGAAAAATGCACCATGTTCTACTCACCTGGGAAGGGCAGGCTATCCTCAACTTGCCGCACAGAGCTGTGGGTGGGCCTCACAGGAGCAAGGGTGGCCTGACATTCTGTCATTTCATACTGTCCAGAACTCAGTTCCTCCTTGGGGAAGAGCTCACTCTGACTTACTTCCTGTGGTAATTCAAGACAAACCCGGTGCCTCTTTGTCCCTATACGGTGCTTGGCCAGACTGTAAAGAGAACAAACCTTCTAGAGTCCACATATGAAATCACCAAATACATTCAACCTTGTGCAAATACAACCCAAAATAAATGCCCAGGGCCTGTCAGTACTGGTTCAAAACTCGGGACCACCTCTTGTGTGATCTGAACCAAAAGACTTGACCTCTCTGAACTTAGTCCATCATCTGGAAAGTACAGGTATCCCAACCCACCTCACAGATTTGGGGTGAAGATTGAGAAAAGGTTCATAGAGCACCGCAGCAGAGTGCCTAGCCTTATTAAGTACCCCATAAATGTCCCTCTGGTCTTTCCCACATGAAATGGGAAAAACTCTTCTCAGAGCACTGGCTCAGATCCTGACAACACCAGCAAACTTATCTTCCTACTGCCACTGCCCCAGAAAGTCTTGATCCCACCATCACATTCTCCTTTTCAACAAATATTCTGGGGGATGCAGCTCAGTGATAAAGCACCCATGGGTTCAGCCCCCAGTATCACAAAAATAAAACAGAATAAAAAACAGAAAACACTCTGATAGGAAAACTAACTTTTTTGGCACAAGGGAGCCCTACCCCTTGCTCCAGCCAACTACAGGTTTATTATCTTCATTGCTGGGTAAGAACCACAAGGAAGTGCTGAATGCTCCAGCTCTGAGGGTTTTGGAACTTTACTAAGAAGAAAATTCCCTCAGCTGTGGCTCAAACACCCCACTTAGTCACAGCCTTTCCACAGGTTGTGAGAGCTGCCCAGAATCCCATCCTCAACAGTCAGGTCCAAATGGCTACCAGTTACCTTCTCTTTAGGTCTCCCTCCTCTCCATCTTCAACTCCTTCCATGTCCTCCTCTGGGCATTCCTCCTCATTCCCAGCTCCTGGGGGAAGTTCACTCTCCTTGAGAAATTCTGCTGCTTCTGGTGTAGGCACGGTATGGTCAATAATTGTGCTGTCCTTCCCAGCTTTCCAAAGTTTGTATCTTTCTGGCTGGAACTTCCTCACAAACACATCCATGGAGATCTTCACCATATCCTTTCTGCAGGAGCACTGTCACAAGTAGCGAGCAAGTGAAGCACACCTTATCTGTTTCTGCCTCACCTCCACATCCCATCTCCTCCCTCCATGTGGAAAAAAGCATGAGACATTTTAAAACCAAACTGTTCTAGTTCACAGGCCAAGGGCACATTGCTCTTACAGAAACTTCAAACACGAGGGAAGCAAAAAGAGGTCAGAGAGTGCTGGCACAGTAGTGAGTCTACCTGGGCACTTATGAGAGTGCACAGAGGATGGGCAGTGACGTGGCTCTGTACCTAGGTCCTGAGATGGTCAACAACCGCATGCCTATGGATATCTATCCAAGTCAAGACTACACAAGAAAGCCTAGTACTCTGAGGCACGGCACAGCTTGTTGCTTGCCTATAACAAAAGTAAATGCCTAAGACTTTTTCAAAAGAGAAATCTCAGAATGGTCACAGCAAGAAATATTGATAATGTGGGGTATAGTTTTAATTCTAAATGGACTTAAGTGCGGAATCTCACTTTTTACTTTCCAAAGCTACATATATTTTTAAAAATTCTTTATGAACACAAAAAGCTGTCATTTTTACACATTTCCAGCCAGTCTTTCTGAATTTCAGCACTTTAAAGAAATATTCTGGGTCTAGGGTTGTGGCTCAGTGGTAGAGCACTTGCCTCAAATGTGTAAGGCACTGGGTTCAATTCTCAGCACCACATATAAATAAATGAATAAAGTTCATCAACAACTTAAAAAACTATTTAAAATATAAAAAAAAAAAAAGAAAGAAATATTCTGACACTAACAACAATTTACTCAACCAGATATTTTTAGTCAGTATAATAGACATCAAGAGGGCTCACCAGCACGGCCTGTTTGCCATACTCAATCCAACGCCGGGTGGCAAAATTGGTAGACTCTGCACAGTTGAAGCCATGATTAAAGCCGGCATGGTAACCATAAGGGAAAGTGATCATGAACTCTCCAGCTTCTTGAGTCACCTAAAGAAGAGAAGACTTAGGGCTGGGGATGTTGCTCAAGCGGTAGCGTGCTCGCCTGTCATACACCGGGTGCTGAGTTTGATCCTCAAAACCACATACAAATAAAGATATTGTGTCCACCTCAAACTAAAAAATAAATATTAAAAAAAAAGAAGAAGAAGAGAAGACTTAAAGCAGCTGCCACACATGGCAGAGACTATAAAATGGGACTCCTGGGCTCTGGTTCAGCCACCAATTAGCTAAGCAACCACAGATAAGTCATATACTACTGGGGTCTTCTGTCTTGTATAAAATGAAAAGCCTTAAGATACTACATGCATATCATGACAATAATTAACCCTTCCTCCAAGTTCAGCGCTGTCTAGGTGACCTGCTCCTCCCATGGCCCACTAGTCCCCTCTTTGGCATCAAAATCCCACCCTAAATCAAAGTGATGGTGACAAACTAGAATACAATTCTGTGAAACAAAGACCAAAAAGGGTTGTCTCTATGTAAGCCTAAGGACTTCCATATGTAATATCAGCTCACCTTGTCAAAGGGAATGCCATATTTCTTCAGCATTAAAGGGGAAATCAGGGTCATCTTATGGCGGAGAAAAGCCTCACAGCTTTGAGCACTTCCTGGGAAAAAGCCTGTTTAAATGCACAATGGGTCTGAGTTTATTCCTTTCTCCACACTAGCTGTATAATCCTGGAGTCACTTCATACCTGTAAATCTCATCTGAACGAAATCTTTCTATCTCTGGGCAGACTCCTAAGATTCTACAGTGCACCTCTCCAGATAGAGTACTACCTGGGTAATCAAACTTGTTTGGGTGACTGAAAACACCCAACAACAGCTGCCTCTGTTCTTAACAGCACTTTCAAACTTTTTAGAACTTTCTCCAGTACTGAAAGATTGAGACTGCACTCTTTTGTCAAAAGTAACACATCTATAGCATAATCTACCCTGGCTTTCCTGAAATAAGATTCTCTAGAGGTACAAATCTAATCCACATAAAGATCAAACTACGAAATAACTTGATTTTTACTTTAACAGTTTGGGTTTTAGCAGAAGAACCAGAATCAAAATGATTTGTATACTTTCCTCGTTACAGAAACCAGTGCTTGGAGGAACTGAGACAAAGACCATCAAAGGAAGGACTAAAAGTTACCTTTTTGGATACAGTTGAGCCCATTCCCTCCCTGTAAATCTGTGAAAGGCCACACAAGATCTTATCACAGAAAATGAACTTTTGAGAGCTAGACACAGCTCACAGAAGGGAGGAGACAATACCTTTGGCGAGGCGCTCCAATCGTTTTCCATGCTCAGGTGGAACAGAGTACCTGAAAACATATGAGAGCATCAGACACGGAGCAAAGGACAGGAACAGGAGCCAAAGGGCTTGTCCCACTAGAAAAACACACTGAAGCCAGTAGAGAGAACGCTGAAGTTTCCTAGCACAAAAAAAATGACAAATGTTTGAGGTGGTGAATATGCCAGTTCACTGATCTGACTTTAACACATTGCATAATACATGGTCTGGAATAGCAGCACACTGTAGCCCATAAAAAAATGTACAGTTACGTATTGACTAAAAATAATAATACAAGCTGGGAGTGGTGGCTCACACCCACAATCCTAGCAATTTAGGAGACTGAAGCAGGAGGATCACAAGTTCAAAGCCAGCCTCAGCAATTTAGAGAGACACTTAGCAACTTGGTGAAACCCTGTCTCAAAATAAAAATCAAAAGGTCTTGGATATTAAAAGGGCTCAGTGGTAAAGGGCCCCTGGGTTCAATCCCCAGTACCCAAAAAATAAATAACTTAAAAAATGAAATTAACAATACAAACCAGGTGCAATGGCACACACCTGTAATCCCAGTGACTCAGGAGACTGAGGCAGGATTGCAAGTTGGAGGCCAGACTGGGCAACTTAGTGAGACCCTGTCTCAAGATAAAAATAAAAAGGGCTGAGGATATAGCTTAGTGATAGAGCATCCCTGGGTCTAATCCCCAGTACCACCAAAAAAACAAAAACAAAAAACACTTTTTTTTTTTTAAAGAGAGAGAGAGAGAATTTTTAATACTTATTTTTTAGTTTTCAGCGGACACAACATCTTTGTATGTGGTGCTGAGGATCGAACCCGGGACGCAGGCATGCCAGGCGAGCGCGCTACCACTTGAGCCACATCCCCAGCCCCCCCCAAAAAAAACACTTTTTAAAGTTGCTAAGCACTACAAAGAATCTGGAGAAGCTAAGTATTAGACTCCTGGAGCAGAAGAATATAGAGCCTACAAAGGAATGTAACTGAATTTATTTCTTCTATATTCACCCACTTAATAAAACATCTATTGGAGCTGGGGTTGTAGCTCAGCAGTAAAGTGCTCGCCTAACACATATAAGGCCCTAGGTTCAATCCTCAGCACCACATATAAATAAATAAAATAAAGGTATTATGTCCAACTACAAATAAAAGATAGATATTTAAAAAATAAAAATAAAACACCTATTGAATATGCACCATGAACTAGGATTTATGGTACAAAAAGTTATGTTGTTCATGCAATAAAATTTTTTAATGGGCTGGGGATGTGGCTCAAGCGGTAGCGCGCTCGCCTGGCATGCCTGTGTCCCGGGTTCGATCCTCAGCACAACATACAGACAAAGATGTTGTGTCTGCCAAATACTAAAAAATAAATATTAAAATTCTCTCTCTCCCTCTTTCTCACTCTCTCTCACTCTTTCTTAAAAAAAAAAAAATTTTTAAAGAGGAAAAAAAGGTGGCATTACATAATCTCAGTGTTTTTTAAAATGCTCCCAGGAGTAAAAGGCCTAATTAGAAGAGGTTAGAGAAAAAAATGGGAAGCAGGGTAGAGATGGATTAGAAACCTAGAAATTTGGTCTGGGATCTGCTGATGATTCCATTTTCCCTTCATCTGCATAAAAGCTATACTGATTACCCAATAATTAATCACTCCTCCCCTTGGTAGGGTGTCTAGACATCACAGTAACTGTTCTCCATTAAAAAAAAAAAAAAAAAAAAAAGAGGGCTGGGGATGTGGCTCAAGCAGTAGTGCGCGAGCGGCCCAGGTTCGATCCTCAGCACCACATACAAACAAAGGTGTTGTGTCCGCCGAAAACTAAAAAATAAATATTAAAAATTAAAAAAAAAAAAAAAAAAAAAGAAAGAAAAAGAAAAGAAAAAAGAGAACATCTGAGACTATTTAAAACTTTTGCACAACTGTTAAACATATTCTGAAACTCACAGTAACCTTATTATAATCTACCCTAAAGCAGCAGTGTGCACTGTGGTTCTAGTACTGGGGAAACTGAATACAGAGAATCACTTGAGCCCAGGAATTCAAGGCCAGCCTGAGCAACTCAGTGAAACTCAACTCAAAATAAAATAAAAAGGGCTGGGGATATAGCTAAGTGGGAGAGCACTTGTATATGCACAAGGCCCTGGGTTTGATTTCCCACTATCAAAACAAAAAAAAAAAAAGAGGAAAATTAAGTATATTCCACATAAACAACAAAAATGACCCCTCTTAAATAAAATAGCCTCCTTATGAATCAAAACAGAGGAGAAAAGTTAAGAAAATACCACCAAAAGGACTTTGACTTTAGGAGCCATCAGGCAACCTCACACAGAATTTTCTAGAGCTCCCACTTCAAATGATCTATCCAATGTATCAATAACTGTAAAATCTCTTGATTGAAGAATGATAATCCAATATCAGGAAATTTTAGAGTCAACATTTACAGATTTTTGCATATTTTCCAATCCTAGCCATCTAGAAGAAAGGCAGTACACAGTGGGTGGGGATGAGGGGGAGCACTAGGGATTGAGCTGAGAGCTTTGTACTTGCCAGGCAAATGCTATGCCACTAGACAACATCCCCAGTCCACCAAATATTTTTTTAATGAGGTAAAGAATTCTTTCTATCATCTGAAGGAATAATTCCAGTTTTGAAGTCTGTCTCTCAGAAGGTCAGGCACAGAGCTGACCTTCTCAGCTACTCAGGAGGCTGAAGCAGGAGGATCTCAAGTTTGAGTTCAGCTTGGACAACACAGCAAAACCTAGTCTCCAAATTTAAAAAGAGGCTAGGAATATATCTCAGTGGTATAGCTCAGTGGTAGAACACCCTGGGTTCAATGCCCATTACCACAAAAAATAAATAAACAGAAACAAAGAAATGTCACAGGCCCATTCAGAAGAAGTTATAAAGAGTGGGATTGCCTGTAACAGTTCCATGACTTTCAGTAACAGACTAAACTATGCTTTCCTAAGATGGTGTTGAGTCATGTGTTCTCTAAAGCCTCATTTCTCAACAGATAGTCTGGCTCCAACAGTATCTGATCACCTCAAAGTGTGTCTCAAATGTAGAATGTCATCTCCACCCCAAGCCTGCTGCACCAGAATCCACATTTCAACCTGCTCCAGAGGTTTCCAGTGGACATTAAAGGTGAGAAAACCTGTACCAACTATGGGCTGACTTTACCAGGACTTTGGCTCTCCGAAGTGCAGGTAATTGATGCTGTACAGGTCCATGTCTTCTGTATGCCAGGCAAAGGAAGTCTTCCACATGCCAAAGTACAGGTATGGGGTGTTCACACCCTCAATGGTGATCCCACTCTCCTTTTCAACCAAATCCAAAATGGTCTTCAGCCGGCCAATGTTCCACTCATCAACATGCTGCCAAAGAAATGACAGTCCACAGTAAATTATACTTGAATATAAAATGAAGTTATGAATCTACAAACCACAGAGAAGGCTTCAGGAGAGCCTATCATCTCTGATCAACCCATAAAATAATGTCAAAACCACAGGCCAGTCACAGGGGTGTATACGTGACTTGGGAGACTGAGATAGGAGGGTGATAAAAGGAGGCCAGCCTGAGCAACTTAGAGAGACTGTATCTCGAAATAAAAAATAAAAAGGACTGGGCCTGGGTGTAGTGGTACACACTTGTAATTCCAGCAGATTGGGAGGCTGAGGCAGGAGGACCGCAAGTTCAAAGCTAACCTCAGCAACTTAGCTAGGTCCGGAGAACTTATTGAGACCTTATCTCAAAATAAAAAATAAAAATAAAAAGGGGGGGCTGGGGATGTGGCTCAAGCGGTAGCGCGCTCGCCTGGCATGCGTGTGGCCCTGGTTCGATCCTCAGCACCACATACAAACAAAGATGTTGTGTCCGCCAAAAACTAACAAAATAAAATAAATATTAAAAAATAAATAAATACATAAAAAGGGCTGGGGATGTGGCTCAGTCATTAAGTGCCTATGGGTTCAATCCCCAGTACCAAAACAAAACAACAAAACTGAACCCCTCACTTTTTTTTTTTTAATATTTACTTTTTAGTTGTAGTTGGACACAATACCTTTAGGACCTCGCACATGCAAGGCGAATACTCACAATCCCAGCCCCCCCTCACTTTCACAGTTACTACTGGAACTGACACCATCATGCCTCCAAAGGGATTTAAGCAATATAGTATAGGAAAGATGTTTAAGGAGGTGACAGTTACCTGATCTAAACCCCAGGAAGAAGAGTTTTAACAAAAGATAAAGAAACTTAGGTCAGGGGCTGGGGATTTGGCTCAAGCGGTAGTGCACTCGCCTGGCATGCGAGCGGCCCAGGTTCAATCCTCAGCACCACATACAAACAAAGATGTTGTGTCCGCCAAAAAATAAAACATTAAAAAACTCTCTCTCTCTCTCTTAAAAAAAAAATAAAAATTTAAAAAAAAAAAAAAGAAACTTAGGTCAAATTGGGAAAAACAAAGAAAAATGGGAATTAACTATAGTAACTCATGCTTCTTTTAGCTTCAATTTCCACTGGGCAGAGTCTTCATAAAATGTCTACATTGTCCTTTCCCCGAGTTGTACTCAGCCAGAAGCCCCCCTCCTAAAACCAAGTTCCCAATTTTTGTGCCCTGCTTTTGTACTTCCCAAAATCTGCAGGCATCAATCCACCATTCATGCCTACAGGCTTGACTCCCCATCACCCCACAATATTACTGTCAACAAACTTAGAATTCACTTTTTAGGGGCTGGGGATGTGACTCAAGCGGTAGTGTGCTCGCCTGACATGCGTGCGGCCTGGGTTCGATCCTCAGCACCACACACAAACAAAGATGTTGTGTCCGCCGAAAACTAAAAAAAAAAATTTCTCTCTCTCTCTCTCTCTTTAAAAAAAAAAAAAAAGAATTCACTTTTTAAATACTTTCCTTTTGATAATTTACAAAAATGTTAAAATCTAAGCAATAATACCTAAAACACCTAATTTTTTTCTAATCATCCAAAGGCAGGTTCAAATAGTCCCTCTTCTACCATATCAAAACAATTCTTATTTGAAAATTGGGATCCCCCTGACTCAGCCTCCAAAGTCACTGGGATTACAGACATGCACCAAGGTGCCTGGCACCAAAGCAGTTCTTCATGCAAAAAAAACCAAATACTTCAAGCCAATGTTAAATAGTTAAAATAGCTTTTGCTACAGAATTCTGTTTAAGGGTTTTTAAAATCTAAATAGATTTCTCTTCTTAAATATATACCCCTTTCATTAGTCAGTGATCTTTTTTCTGCAGAAACCACACAGCTCCTCCCCCATCATTTCATTTTCTCTGAACCATCCCACCCTTTCAAGAACTCATCATCTACCACCCACAGACTATGCTAACAGCCCTTGAAAAGAACACCACATCATCTAATTCACATGCAGAGTGGGAGAAATAAAGTTCAGTCACATGCAAAAAATGCTAACAACTAAGGGAACTCAGCATATCAGTTGGTGGTACATCATTCATTTGTTCTTCCACCCATTCACCAACTCACTTTTAGAAGCCTACTAAGTGCTGGGCAGGAAAAAAAAAAAAAAGTATTATGTTACAAAATTTCAAATATTCTGCACAAAGGGCTTCCAAGGAGCCTCACCTTTTCATAGAGAGTACCATTCACATCTGCGCCATAAATTGGAGGGTTGAATGTGAGATTTTTCCAGTATTTCCGCTCAAGCTCTTCAAACTCACTATACCGTGGGGTACAGTACCTTCCAAAGTTTAAAAAAAAAATAATAATAATTGTTAGCCACTTACTGTCACTAAATTTATTAGGCATTATGAACAGTGTAAGACACAATTCCCTGAATTCCCTATTTCCAGAACAGCAAGACATTTCAAATGAACAAGACACAATCTTGGCATTCAAGGTTATAATGTACAGTAACTCCCCTCAATATTCCTTCCATGAACTGGGCCCACGGAAACTGGGAAAAGAAGGTCACTAAAGCAGTGACATGAATCCATCTTCTTTTACAACATAATAACTTCCACTGAAGAGAGGCTACTTAAACTACACCCTGCTTGATTCAGGAGTAGCTTAGCCAGTGAGGAAAAAGGACTTAAAAACTATAAAGAACCACAGAGGACACACCCATTAATCTCAGCAACTTGGGAGGCTGAGGCAAGAGGCTCTCAAGTTTGAGGCCAGCCTCAGCAACTGAGGGAGGTCATAAGCAACCTAGCAAAATCTTGTCACAAAATTAAAAATAGAAAGGACTGGGGATATAGCTCAGTGACAGAGCACTTGCTTAGCATGCACGAGGCCCTGGGTTCAATTCCCAGTACTGTAAAAAAATAATAATGAAAAAGTTATTAAGTGGCAATTTAAAAAGAATAATACACCAGCCTTACAAACATAAAAAGTGGGAAAAGTAATGTACTAAAATGGAAAAAATATTAGTAAGATATAATAATTGTATAAAGATTAGACCTGAAGCCCAAAATGAAATTTTATGGGGGATAAAAGGAATGAGTGAAAACAAATCTTCCTTTACTGCCTTTCATTTCAATGTTAACCTAATGAATAATACATTTTAGAAAAATTCATGTGTTTAACAAATCCTTTGCCTTCTAACGATCTGTTTTTATAAGATGTTTTCTTAAAGCTGGCTAGACATAAAAATAGAAATTGGGGGTAAAAAATCTTGTCTCATAAGGCTGGGGTTGTGGCTCAGTGGTAAAGTACTTGCCTAGCATGTATAACACACTGCCTTTGATTCTCAGCACCACATAAAAATAAATAAAATAAAGGTATTGTGTCCATCTACAACTAAAAATATTTTTTAAAAAAATCTTCTTGTCATATATAAGGGTAGGGGCTGGCAGTCTAGCATGCTAATAGAGCACTTGGCTAGTGAGGCCCTGAGTTCAATTCCCAGCACTGCAGAGTAGAAACAGAGTTGTTTATAAGGAAAAGAAACGCTGAACACAGTGATCTATGTTTGTAATCTCAGCAACGGAAGAACTTTAGGCAGGAGGATTACATGTTCCACACTAGCCTGGGTAATTTATCAAGATCATATCTCTAAATAAAAATATAAAGGGCTGAGGATGTAGTTCAAGGTAAAGAAATTCTGGATTCAATCCCTAGTACTGAAGAAAAAAAAAAAGCAAAGGAAAAGAAGTATATTGAAAGAAAAAAGCCTAGCATATATTGACAAGAAGACATAGGATGCTAAAGACCCTGGTAGAACCCTGCATAAGAAACAGAAAGCTGCTAAGTTTGGCCCCACAAACACAGCTAAAATCAGGATCAACTATGACACAGACTTGCATCTGCAAAGCTTATCACACTTCTTCAATAAGCTTTTACATAAGTTCTCTCATTGGCCAACAGGCTGGCTGGCAATGTAGATGTTTTAAGCTTTGTCAATAAAACTGTTAAGACCTCAATTAGAATCCACAAACCAGTAGAGTGCTTGCCTTGCATGCAGGAGGCCCTGAGTTCAATCCCCAGTACCAAAAAAAAAAAAAAAAGTATTGACAAGCCAAGTGAAAAGAGAGCAAAGTATAGAAATAGAAAGAGCAAGACCTGCTATGAGAGAAAGAGGAGATTAAAAAAAAACATGAAAGGCTGTTTCTAGAAGTGAGGACTATGAAACAAAAAACTTAGCTCTGGACTTAATCTCAGCAAAGGCATTTGTCAGTCAAGCTGAAATTAAGACATGAGTAAATCAGAAGGCTCAGGAAATAAAGCAAGAGGAAGGAGAAGGAATCTCTTGTGGAAATCCAAGGTTGGGGAGCAAAGTGAGAAGATAACAGAAGAAGGATTAAGAAATAGTCACAGCCAATTGAGGGAAACACAAAGTATATTTTCTGTGATTATGACACAAGATGACAGCTAAATGTTAAAAACAGAGAGAAAAGCAACTAAAAACAATAGGACTAAACAAACACGTTTTCAGACAAGAATGAGCAGATGAAGAAGAGTTACATGACAGAAAATAAGGTTAGTAATTATTCACATTCTGTTACTGTCAAAACAGAAATCAGATAGCAGCTAACAGGTAGTGAAGAGCCTGCCCATATCTAAAGACAGAAGATACCACAATGAACTGAAATGACTAAAGCCACTTTTTGATAACAGGTGGCATCAATATACCTCTCAAAAAAAAAACCCCACCTTTCAAATCACCTCTTTCTTTTGCAACTGTACAATTTAGTATCATCCAAAAAATTATTATATTTCTAGGGTAGGGGTTATAGCTCAGTAGCAGAGCACTTGCCTAGCATGTGCAAGGACTGGGTTTCATCCTCAGCATCACAAAAAATAAATTTAATCTTTAAATTATTCTACCTCAGCCGGGAATGGTGGCCATGCCTGTAATCCCAGCTCAGGAGGCCGAGCCAGGAGAATTGTGAGTTCAAAGTCAGCCTCAGCAAAGGTGAGATGCCAAACAACTCAGTGAGACCCTGTCTCTAAATAAAATATAAAATGGGGCTGGGGATATGGCTCAATCCCCGGTAGCACCCCCCCCTCCAAAAAAATTACTCTACTTCAAATGGGAAAACAATGGGAATGGGACCACCTTAGGCAAGAATGTAGAAAGGTTTAGACTACAACAGAGGAAATGCTTCCACAGAAACTGCAAAAAAAGGGAGAGAGAAGCTAGAACTGAGGAAGCTATTCCTCAGTATGACAGTAGCAGTCTTGGAGACAACTATAAGGATGAGACAATAGGTTTTAGGTGTTAAAACAGAGGAAGTGTTTCTACTCACTTATCACTATTAGCAATCTTGCGGAACTCTCGAACAGTCATGGCTTTCTTCTGAATGTTGTACTGAGTAAAGAGGCCAGACTGCCCTGTTACCAGTTGCTGGATGGGTGCAGGGATGACCAGATCATCAATGTCATCATAGGATGCTCGTGGCTTCCACTCTTTTGGAGGAACAACCTACAGGAAACATAAGAAAAAAGGAGACAGATAAGAAACTGAAAAGTCAAGAGTTTGGCAGGTTTTTAGTCTGCTACACAAACAGTCAATTTCACTAGAAAGTGACTCTGAATTACTGACAATAACCCAAACATAGGAAGACACACTGTCATGCTAACCCTGACCAGCTCTGCCATCAACTAGCTGCCTAGTTGCAATGACTCTTATTCTCAGATTAGGTATCTTATCAGGTTGAAAAATTGGTTCTTTCTCAATCAGGGCTCTTAAAAAAAAATTATTTTTACTTGATTTGGGTAACTCTATGCTCATATAGAGTTTCCTTCTCTTGCACACCAGATTGCAGTCTATTTACGAAGCCTAAAGTCTTTTTTTTTTTTCTTTTTTGGCAGTTCGGGGCCCAAACCTAGGGCCTCACACATGCTAGGCAAGCACTTCATCAATGAGCTTCATTCTCAGGCCCAGAAAACTTACATTCTTAAATATTCAATCTTTTTTTTTTTTAGTTTTTTTTTTTTTAGTTTTTGGCAGACACAACATCTTTGTTTTTTTTTTTTTTTGTATGTGGTGCTGAGGATCGAACCCAGGCCAAACACATCCCCAGCCCCTAAATATTCAATCTTGAAGCCAGACACAATGGTACATGCCTACAGTCCCAGCTACTTAAGGGAGAAAATTTTTAAAGCGGGTGGGGGAGTGCTGGGAATACTTCAGTGGTAATGTGCCCCTGGGTTCAATCTCCAGTACCACCTCAAAACAAACAAAAAAAAAAAAACAAGCTAATCTTGAATAGTTAAATTAGAAACTAAGGTATGGGACACTGTATGGCATGTTATGTTTTATGTAAGAAGGGACAAAACAAGCAAACACATGTATATATGTGTGCCATAATCTGCATACAACAACACAGGAAGATACACATAAAAGCATGGAGAAAGAAACGGCATAAGAATTTACATTATCTGCTAGCATTTTTTTCACCCATGTATTATCTATTCCAAAAAGTAATAAATTAAGATGAGGGGGGCTGGGGATGTGGCTCAAGCGGTAGCGCGCTCGCCTGGCGTGCTTGTGGCCCGGGTTCGATCCTCAGCACCACATACAAACAAAGATGTTGTGTCCGCCGAGAACTAAAAAATAAATATTAAAAAATTCTCTCTCTCTCTCTCTCTCTCTCTCTCTCTCTCTCTCTCTCCCCCACTCTCTCTTTAAAAAAAAAAAAAAAAATGACCCCCCTCTCCCGCTTGTGGGCCTCCTCTGGACCTCACTCATAATTTAAAAAAAAAAAAAAAAAAAGATGAGGGGCTGGGGTCGTGGCTCAGAGGTAAAGCACACGCCTAGCATGTGCCAGGCACTGGGTTCGATTCCCAGCACCACGTAAAGCAAAATAAAGACACTGTATCCACCTATAACTAAAAAATAAAAATATTAAAAAAAAAGATAAATAAGTCTCATCCATAAGTGAGAAATATGTTGTTAAAAAACAAAAAAGAGGGACTGGGATTGTGACTCAGCAGTAGAGCACTCACGTAGCACATGCAAAGCCCTGGGTTCAATCTTCAGTACCATAAATAAATAAATAAATAAATAAATAAATGTATTGTGTCCAACTACAACTAAAAATGGGGATGTGGCTCAACTGGTAGCGCAATCGCCTGGCATGCGCGAGGCACTGGGTTCGATCCTCAATACCACATAAAAATAAAATAAAGATATTGTGTCCACCTAAAACTAAAAAATAAATATTAAAAAAAAAATTGAACCAACAGAGAAATATGTAAGGCATGATCCCATTCTCTCTCTTTTTTTTTTTTTTTTTGGTCTTTTTTTGAGAGGGGAACTGGGGATTGAACTCAGGGGTACTCAGTTGCTTAGTGTCTCACCATTGCTAAGGCTGGCTTTGAGATTTTCCTGCCTCAGCCTCCAGAGCTGCTGAGATTACAGGCAAGGCATGTGCCACCTCGCCACGCCCATTCTCTTTTAAAAACAAAAAATGCAATACTGTATGTGAGTTTATTTGTGTGAGCAGATAAAGATGTGGAAGGAACTAAAAACACTAATCGCTTTAAGGAGATGGTCCTGTAGAAGACAGATGAGATTAACCTTTTCTTTATGTATTTTTGAATTACTTAACTTGTAATAACAAGCATTTTGGGGTAATTTTTTGAAATCTAAGAAAGTATAACCAAAAAAGTTAATATGCTGGAAAGGTGTATTGCAGGTCATGTGACTCCTATCCGTTATTCAAACCCAGCAGCAGCCATGTCTGCATGTAAGAGTAAACATGGAGCTATCTTGAGCCTCTATGGAGGCAGCAGGGTCTAAGACTGGTCCTCTGCTTTCTAATCAATGTCCTTGCTTTCTTTTTTTCATACTGAAAAAGTAACATATATGTATAATTGGAAATAAAAACAGCATAAAAGTTTCTACCTGAGACGAGTCCCTCTCAGTTTCTTTAAGATCCTTCCAGAAATATAATTTTCACAGACTTAGAAATTTGATTTTGACAAACTTATAAAAGGCTGATTTGACTGGGGAAGAATAACTGATTCAATTCACAGAGGGAAAAGTACAAACCAGAAACCAATTTCAAATTGCAAAGACCAGAATCAGAATACTCATGTTGGCTGGCCAAGTACATTCTCTCCTCTGGATGAAAGTCCAAATTACTATCAGAGTTCTGGATGAAACTGAAATTAAATGTAGCATAAACAGTCATATATCAAAAACCACTAAAGCACCCAGCTCCATTTTGAGGACAGAAGCAGAGAAGCCAGGTCAGCAGACACTGGCTCTTTACCTGCCCTTTGTGAAGATTCCAAGCAACTCCTCCCACCTAACAACAAAGGTGTTTCAAATGTTAACAACAGAAATTAACTTGCAAATGAAATAGCTTAAACTGAAGTCACTGCCCCACCCAAATTTCAGTAAGACCCAGTCCTGGCCTTCATTTAGGAAAACTTTGACTGCTACCATGTCACAAAAGGTACTTTGAACAATCTTACTCCTTACCTTAGCTAGTCCAGCACGATGAGCTCCTTGGGATTCAATGTAGGCAATGTATCGACTGAAGTTCCGGAATTCTTCCATGGTTGGATAAAAGGTCATTATCCGAGCACTTGGATTCAGGGTTTCAGATTCAGAAGCCATTTTCCCTCCTTTTTGAAGTCACTTTGGTCAGTCAGGAATCTGAAGTACATTAAAGGCATAAAATTATTCAAAATGTAAAAATTAAATGCTCAGAATGACAGTACTGAAAATAGTAACTGATAATGCAGAAATTTTGAAAGATCATTAAGACCACACACCTGGAAACTGCCACTAGGTAGGAGTTATTTAAATGAAGTTAAACAAATAGGAAAGCTTTTGTTTAAAAAGAATCTGATGGGGGGGGCGGGGCGGGGAGGGGCTATGGATATAGCTTGGTTGGTACAGTGCTTACCTCGAATGCACAAGGCTTTGGGTTCAATCCCCAGAACCACAAAAGAAAAAAATTAAAAGAACCTGATGTATCAAAACTGCACATATTCAAATCTCACTTAAATAGAGACATTGTTACAACTAAAAGGGAAATTATTTGGTTCTTAGTCCAATCTAACAACATAATTCAATTGACCTGCCCACATTTTGGGGGGGGAGGGGTGTTGGTTTTCAAGTTACTCCCTTATTTATACCTTACTAATCTTTTCTCAGGATAGTAAAATATAGTACAATCTGATTCTTTTTCCTGCAATACTAGGGATTGAACACAGGGCCTTGCAAACACTCTATCACTGAGCTACATCCCCAGTCTTTATTTTTGTTGTTGTTGTTGTTGCAGTTGGACATAATACCTTTATTTTATTTTTTATATGGTCCTCAAACAAACTAGGCGATTGCTCTATGGCTGAGCCACAACCCTATCACCACCAGCCTTTATTTTGACTTCCTTTTTTTTTTGAGACAAGACTGCCAAATTATCCAGATTAGCCTTAAACCTAGAGTCTCCTGCCTCAGTCTCCTGAGTAACTGGGATTACAGGAGTGTGCCACCACACCTACAATTTGATTTTAAAAGCCACCTATTAGATCTTTTATAGGGCACAGCTTTAGAACAGGATCCTAGATTCCTAAAAGTGAACTTGGCTATAAGATTACAAAGCTTAAGGGTTAAACAATATTAGTAGCATCATTTATAATTTTTAAACCTTATAGTAAAGTTGGTCTCATATCTAAATCAAAATGCAGTTTCAGCAATAAATGAAGTCAAGCTAGAGACAAGTTCAATTGCTATACACACAAAACTCAAAGGACAACATTTAAGCAGGCAATAAACTAACAATACAGAGCAAACTTCATAACTGGAAAAAGCAAAATACATATTTTGTTTTTAGATGAGGACTTCAGCTCAGTGGTTATATCCCCACTGCTCAGTAACACAACAGACCTCAACTGAAAAGGGACAAAACATATCAGCCAAAAGGAGCCAATTTAGAAGTAAAACTGAACCTCCTCACAAGACCCCATAGTTCTGCCCTCCAATCGGGGGTCTAAAGGAATGGCAGTTCAACTACATAGGAAGAAACTGCCTCCAACCTACCAGCAAGCTAGCAAGAGATTGAGAGGACAGCATGGAACAAAACTTTTAAGGTGGGAGAGAAGATGAACCCTACTATCTTCAACTGAAAGGCTTCCTTCCATTCCACCCAATAAGACATTTCTGACCAGGCACTTTTCATGAATTTCCTATAAACTCTGCATGGCAGGCATACTGTTATCCCTGTTTCATATACCAGGAAATCTACCCACAATCCATTCCCAGTGCACTTTCCATTACTTTGTGCTGCCTACATCATAATCTCCATCTGGACTGTCACTGGCAAATGTGGATCTAAGTGAGGAACCTTAGGCTTAATTCAAATAAATTTGGGGGCCTTCATTTATTTCTTTATTTTATTTATATAAATAAAATATATATACACACATACACACAATCTCTTATATATATATATATATTACACACACACACACATACACATACATATACATACAAATACACACGTATATGTATATATAAAAATACCACAATTTTTTTACTTTCGAAAATCATATAAAAGCACAGAAGCATGTGAATACAGGATTGCGGCTCCTCCCCTGGGGCTTAAAGGGATCATAATGGGAATTCATCTGCCTCGGGGCCCTGTTCATCTTTGTGTGTCTGGAAGGCAGAACAATGCACTGCACAGAGTGGGCACTTAGTAACTGTTAAATAACTGAATCCTTATCTGCACCTCAGTTGTTCATCCCCTTTCTTTAATCCTAGGGATTCCTTTTCCCAGTCTATTCCCTAGGAAAAACTCCGGGTCCCTGACACCTCGCATCCAGCAACAAAGCCTGGTGATTCAAGAACACTGGCTCCGGAGTCAAAACTATGATTACAGTTCCGATCTCTGCCATTTATTAGCTGAGTGACCTTGGCTGTGTGAGTTGACTGACTTGTTCTCAGTTTCTCCACCTGTAAAATGGGGATCCCAACGCCCTGCCCTGCAGGGTTACTATGATTAACTCAGATGATGCAAGCGAAACGCTAAGCACTAGGCCTGGTACTTAACCACTCCACGAAGGCTGCGGTTGCTAACAACTTCGAACTTCCGCACCCTCTCCTCGCACCCCCTCCCGTGGGTATCCCTCCAAAGACAACCCCCGTTAGCAAAGTCCCCGAACCTCACCGCTTAAAGGTACGGCCCCTCCCGGCCCCGCCGCCTAGGTTAGTGAGGCCGGGCGGCAGGAAGAAGAAAATAAGGGCCAGTGGATCCGCCCCCCTCTCCCGATATCTATTGGCCACAAGAGATTAGAAAGAGCCAATCTCAGGACTGAGTTTAGAAGCTCCCTCTCCTATTGGCCTAAAAACGTGCCGATCACGCGCCACAGAAAGAACCACCCCACTGCCCCTCCCCCACTAGAGATCACGGTCACGGCAACAGCAGCAACAAAACTAAAGGAATCCAAAACCCCATGGTTCTCACCTGAAGCCCAAAGCCCCGACAGGGCTCAGGCTCGTTTTCTGCTGTCGCCACTAGCCAATCCTACCGCTTTGCCAGCGGACGAAAGACGAAGCTCCGCCTCCTCAAAAGTCGGCTTCTGCGCAGCCGCACAGCACTCACAGAGTCAACCAATCCGAGGGGAGGGCCCACAAATCTTCAAACAACCAATGAGCACACGCTGTAGGCTCCTCAGAGTCCGGGAATATTAAGCTGCTCAGCCTATGAGCGCTGACTCCGGCTGTTGCCAGGAGGAAACGCCATGCCACTCGGGACCGCGGCCACTGAGCATCTCAGCTGAATTGTGGAGCTGGCCAATCACAGGCGGCTTTAGGTCCCCCCCCATAACTAATCAGGGTTGAAAGAGACGAGTACCCAGAAATGGGGAAGGTGGGTAAGGCGACAAGGGTATTATAGGATGTTTCTAATGCAAGAGTGGGTCAAAGTTTTCTTGGGGTGAGCAGCCCCTCAATCTACGGTGAAAAGGTGACGGGGCCTTTAGGGACAGCTTGCAAAGTCAAGAAGTCCTGAGAAGGTGACCAATTTGTCCTGGCTTATCCGGACTGTCTTGGTTTTAAAAACAAAGCCCTATGTCCCTCAAACCCCCTTGCTAACAGGAGAGTCAAGACGGGTCCTGAAGGAGAAGAAGTCCTGGGGGTCATTAGGACAGATCCTGAGGGAGGGTATCCTCAGGGTCATTAAAAAGGATTTCCTCCATGAGTGGTGATTTGGGGATCATTAGAAGCAGCTCCGGGGGTGGAGAGGGGATTCTGGGAATCATTAGAAGCACTTTTGGAGGGCGAGGGGGTTCCTAGAAGTCAATAGAAGCAATTCCTGAGGGATAGAGTCGCCTTAAGGAGTTACCAGATTGTCAAGGGTGATGGGGAAGAAGGCATTACATGATATCCTTATAGCTAAATATTAAAGTAAAATACCCACAACATTGGTATAAAAAATGTACAAAATTACCAATGAATGAGTAATTTTTGGTGCACTGGGAAAAGCTCTATGGAGTTAGACCTGTGTTCAAAACCAGTCTCCTTTGAACCTGGGTTTTCATATCAGTAAAATGGACAAAAAAAAAAAAAAATACTACTTTGCAGATGGTTGTGAAGATGAGAGTGAATGAATGTCAGACAAAAGGAAATACTATGGAGAACGGTACGGAGTTAGAGTATGCACATACTTCCAAACAACACAAGCAAATGTTTAAAAATAAATAAATAAATAAAAGGAGCCGGTGTCCAGGTCCTGGTGGCGCATGCCTGTAATCCCAGCAGCCCAGAAAGCTAAGGCAGGAGGATCGCCAGTTCAAAGCCAGCCTGAGCAATGGTGAGGCGGTAAGCAACTCAGTGAGACCCTGTCTCTATTTTTTTTTTAAATATTTTTATTAGTTATTGATGGACCTTTATTTATTTATTTATTTGTATGTGATGCTTGAGAATCGAACCCAGGGCATCACACATGCTAGGCAAGCGCTCTACCACTGAGCCACAGCCCCAGCCCCCCTGTCTCTAAATAGAATACAAAAAGAAGCCTGGAGATGTGGCTCAGTGCTCTAGTGCCCCTGAGTTCAATCTCCATTGCCCCCTCCCCACAAAAAAAAAAAAGTATAAATGATCATTGAACAAATGATCATTAGTAAACAACCAATAATTCTTTCTTTCAACATTTATTTTTTAGTTGTAGGTGGACACAATACCTCTATTTTATTTTTATGTGGTGCTGAGGATCGAACCCACTGGCTTATACATGCTAGGCGAGCACTCTACATCTGATCCACAACCCCAGCCCTCTCTCTTTCTTTCATTCTCTTCCTTTCTTCCTTCCATCCTTTTTTCTTCCTTCCTTTCTTCCTTTGTTTCTCCCTTTTTTCCTTCCTTCCTTCCTTCTTCTTTCTTTCTTTCTCCTTTCTTTCTTCTCTCTCTCTCCCTCCCTCTCTCCCTTCCTTCCTTCCTTCCTTTCTGGATTTAACCCAGCACACTTTACCATTGAGCTACATTCTCAGATCTTTTTATTTTTTTATGAAAGATTTAAAGCCAGCCTTAGCAATTTAGGGAGGCCCTAAGTAACTTTGTGAGACTCTGTCTTAAAAAAATAAAAAGGGCTGGAGATCTAGTTCAGTGGTAGATTGCCCATTGGTTAAATCTTCAGTATCAGGCTGGGGATGTGGCTCAAGCGCTAGCGCTCTTGCCTAGCATACATGCGACCCGGGTTCGATCCTCAGCACCACATACAAACAAAGATGTTGTGTCCGCCAAAAAACTAAAAAAAATAAATAAATATTAAAAATTCTCTCTCTTAAAAAAAAAAAATCTTCAGTATCTATCCCCCACCCCTGCAAAATAAAGGACTAGGAATGTAGCTCAGTGATGGAGCAATCCTAATCCTGGGTTCAATTCCCCATACCCCCTCCCCAAAGAAATGAATGAGAAAATAAGGTAAAGTAGTTAAAAGTCTAATTGGCAGGTAGTACATGCTCAACAACTGTTAGCTCCAGTGGTGAATGATGATGGTCATTATACAAAGAACTTAGCACAAAGCCTAAAACAAGAGATCAGTATACTCATTTGTAGGCTTTGCTCACATGTGTACACTACATTCTGTACCCCAACCCAGTCCTCTCCCCTGAGCTCAAATCCATGCTATCTCTAGACCCTTCTCTGAATGTCTCACAGATATCTAAAATCCACCTGCTCAATAAAGAACTAAAATCTTTTCCCACAAATAAGTTCTACATCTTAGGTTTCTTATCCAGGCCAGACAGCCATCTACCCAATTAATTGCCTCTGTCAGAAACCAGTAGGCAACTAGGGACTCCATGATAAAGTCACCTCACCCTGTGCAGATATCCAAAAAGCAAGTGTTTTAGAAATACACAGAAAGCCGGGTGCGGTGGCGCATGCCTGTAATCCCAGTGGCTTGGGAGGCTGATTTAGGAGGATCGCAAATTCAAAGCCAGCCTCAGCAAAAGTGAGGCACTAAGCAACTCAGAGAGACCCTGTCTCTAAAGAAAATACAAAATAAGGCTAGGGATGTGGCTCAGTGCCCCTGAGTTCAACTCCTGGAACCTCTCACCCCCCCCCCCAAAAAAAAAGATTCTGTTTGGGGCTGGGGATGTGGCTCAAGCGGTAGCATGCTCGCCTGGCATGCGTGCAGCCCGGGTTCGATCCTCAGCACCACATACAAACAAAGATGTTGTGTCCGCCGAAAACTAAAAAATAAATATTTTTAAAAAGAGAAAGAAATACACAGATCATTTACATGTCCTCCTTCCTCTGCTAGGCAAAAACCTCTCAAGAATACCACTTTGTGCCTATAATCACAACTATGCAGCAGGTGGAGGAAGAGGCAGGAGGATCAAAAGTTTGAAGCCAACCTGAGCAATTTAGCAACACTTGTCTCAAAATAAAAAGAGCCAGGGGTGTAGCTCAATTACAGAGTTATAGAATGCCCTTGGGTTCAATCCCCAGTACCACTACCAAAAAAAAAAAATTACTTTGGTCTTATTCATTGGTAGTATCATTTAGCATTGCGTTTTATTGCCAGACATGGAAAACCCTAGCAACCATGGTTTAAACAAATACAAAGTTATTTTTCTATGCAATAAGAAATCTAGAGAGGGATGAGTCTTGGTTTGGTGCTACAAAGTCATCAAAATTACAGGTGCCAGCTGGGGCTGGGGCTCAGTGGTGGAGCACTAGCCTGGCATGTATGAGGCGCTGGGTTCGCTGGGTTCGATCCTCAACACCACATAAAAATAAATAAATAAAATGAATATATTGTGTCCATCTACAACTAAAAAAAATATATTTAAAAAAAAAAAAAAAAAAGCTATAGGTTCTTTGGAGGCTGAGGCAAGAAGAGTGAAAATTTGAGGGCAGTTTGGCAACTTAGTGAAGCCCTGTCTCAAAATAAAAAATAAAAAGGGCTGGGGATATAGCTCAGTGGTTAAAAAGTCCCTGTACTCAATCCCCAGAACCAGGAGTGAAAAAAAGGAAGGAGTTTACTTGAACCTTGGCAAGGTTATGCACACCCATAATTCTAGCTACTCAGGAGACTGAAACAGGAAAATCACTTGAGCCTAGGAGTTGTAGGCCAGCCTAGATAACACAGCAATAACCCATCTCAAAAAAAAAAAAAAAAATTTCGTCTGGGGTGTAGCTTAGTGGTAGAGTGCCTACACGCATGAGGCACTGGGTTCAATCCTCAGACCACATAAAAATAAATCAGTAAAATAAAGGTATTGTGTCCATCCACTATATATATATATATATATATATATATATATATATATAATTTGTGCTAGAGGTGTATGTATCTCAGTGATAAGAGTACATGCTTAGCATTAGAATGTGCAGGGTCCTGGGTTCAATCCCCAGCACACACACAAACACAAAATTAATTAATTAAAAAACAGATTTTTTAAAAGTTAACTATAGGGTTAGGGTTGTGGCTTAGCGGTAGAGAGTTCACCTAGCACATTCGAGGCCTTGGGTTCTATCCTCAGCACCACATGTAAATAAATAAAATAAAGGTATTGTGTCCAACTACAACTAAAAAAGAAATATTAAAAAAAAATTAACTATAGCTGGATATGGTGGCTCACACTGGTAATCCCAGCAACTCCAACTCAGGATGCTGACACAGGAGGATCACAAATTCAAGGCCTGCCTTAACAATTTAGCCAGACCTCAGAAACTCAGCAAGACCTTGTCTCAAAATAAAAAATGAAAGGGGGCACCATGGCGCGGATGGCTTAGGAAGCTGAGGCAGGAGGATAGAAAGTTCAAAGCCAGCCTCAGCAACTAAGAAACTCAGTGAGACCTTGTCTTTAAATAAAATACCAAAAAAAAAAAAAAAAAGGCAGAGGATGTGCCTCAGTGGTTAAGTGCCCCTGGGTTCAATCCCTCATACCAAAACAAAAAATGAGAGGGGATGCTAGGGATATTACTCAGTGGTAAAGCTCCCCTGTGTTTAATCCCCAGAATCAAGAACAAACAAACAAAAGTTAACTACAGGTATTGAGTTGTTTTTATATTCCAAATGCTTTATATACACAGAAATTATTTACAGTTACGTATGTTCTCATGGACATTTTCCCCCCAGTACTGGGATTGA